TAAAATCGAGTTGGGACTAGAAGAGTGACTTGTGAAACAGCAAGATGAACAGGAATCATTTTAAACTCTGAGATAAAAGTACACTAGAGGTTCAGGGGAAGGGATCAGTGCTGGATTTATCTCGGAGTACTGCATGAGAGCCTGGAAGGGCAGTGGGATGGAAGTGTACGGGCAGTTTCTTTGGCCAGGAACACCCTCCCTTCCATCATAGTCTTTAGGAATTGAACCTTCCATGCCCTTTTCAAATGGTGTCTGTGCTCAGAAACTACATAATGTCAAGTCCCTTACTGAACCCCCTGCAGATGGCATTCATAAGGTGCTTCACTGCTGTTGGTCTACCTGGCCTACTGTTTATACTCCTGCCTCATTTACTGTGGCCTTCATTCAAGTGGTAACTATTCTTTACCTGTTAACAGTTGGGATGGGTGTGGTGGCTCATGCCTGTAATCCCAGCACTTTGGGAGGACAAGGTGGGCAGCTCACCTAAGTTCAGGAGTTTGAGACCAGCCTAGGCAACATGGTGAAACCCCATCTCTACTAAAAATGCAAAAATTAGCCAGCTATGGTGGTAGATGCCTGTAATTCCAGCTACTAGGGAGGCTGAGGCAGGATAATCGCTTAAACCTGGGAGGTGGAGGTTGCAGTGAGCTGAGACCATGGCACAGTGCTCCAGCCTGGGGAGATGCTGGCTCAAAAAAAAAAAAAAAAAAAAGAAAAGTAGTATAAAGGAGGGCAGAATTTTTTTTCTTTTTAGATGGAGTTTTGCTCCAGGCTGGAGTGCAATGGTGCAATCTTGGCTCACTGCAACCTCCGCCTCCTGGGTTCAAGTGATACTCCCGAGTAGCTGGGATTACAGGTGCCCGCCACCATGCCCAGCTATTTTTTTTGTTTTTCGTATTTTTAGTAGAGATAGGGTTTCATTATGTTGGCCAAGCTGGTCTCAAACTCCTGACCTCAGGGGATCCACCTGCCTCGGCCTCCCAAAGGGCTGGTATTACAGGCGTGAGCCACCATGCCCAGCAGAAATTCTTATTCTTTTAATCCATTGAAATATTAAACAGCCTTTCAGGAGCAGACACTCCTACAGGTTTGCAGAATCCAAGGTAAGGAAGGTATGTATCCAGGTTACAGTGAAGTTTGCGCCAGACAAGTATGAAGATCTGGGTTCTAGATCTGGATACTTCAGGCAGTTTTTACTGTGTGACCCTGTGCCTGTCACAGTCTTTGAACCTAAAGACTGCAAAATATGGACAATGTTTGCCTTTTTGGCTGCCAGTTAGTGTTGTGAGGATTGAGACAATGAGTGCAAAGCTCTTCTGTAATGTGTGGCAGGTGCTTTTATTACTATTGTGAGTGGTAGTGGAAAAACCCATTTGAACAGATAGGATGAGATACGATCACGGTGGCCTTGACAGCTACATGGAGGAGTGCAGTTGGGTGTGGGAAAGTTTGAGCAGGGAAAGAATGTAGTGAAAGCAGTGTCAGGTCAAAGAAAGGTTTGCTTAGGAGTGATACAAAGAATGGGAAGGAGGAGTGGGCAGGGAAGGAGGAAAGAGGAGACCTGTCAGAGGGACCAAAAAGGAGGCAGCAATTTCAAGGTCACAAACCTGAGTGACTAGAAAACTTAGCAGCATCACTAACACCCAGTTGGTGAGGTGGAACTGGTGCTCTCCGGGAAGAGAGCTTCAGTTCTCCACCCACTAAGTAGAAGGTGATGGTGCTATGTCTAAGTGGCAAACAGAGATAAGGGAAAGGTGTCTACAGGGGCAAGATTTGGAGACAGGAGAATGAGCTCTCCAAGGGTAGTGTAGAGAGACCCAGGATGTTGGGGGCTGGCCAGGTAAATGGTTTCAGTGATGGAACAGGAGGAATGAGAAAGCCAGCAAAAGAAACTCACATCCCACATCTTCCATCATCTATGTGTCCAGACTTGTTTAAGTGGTCCTGGATTCACCAAATTTTATAGAGCTCTGTCTTTGCTTTTATTGGGTAGGCCTGATTTTTTACGGTGTTCTTAAAAGGGTAGCCCAATTCTTTTTGTAGTTTCGTAGAACACTTTCTGTCGAGAGTTCTCTGATAATGAAAGTGGTATTACAGAATAATCTGCCCCCCAAAGGATTCCTGATTTTGTTAGAGTGATGCCTTTCTCTGTAAATAAATGTGTTGTGTCACTTAAAAACCTTCAGCAGATTTCTATTTTTAAACAAAGTCACTCAAGTGGGACAGTAAGATTTTCTCAGAGGCTGGCACTGGTGCCAGCCTCTGCTCCGGGGAATCCAGACGTGGCATGCTGGAGTTGGGCCTCATCCATCCTCAGCTCTCATCTGCGACCAAGCCTGACTCAGAATGGGCTGGCAGTTTTCCTAAGTACATGGGAGTTAGGGCAGAGAACACGATGTGGTGCTGGTAGTCAACACGAGCTGGCACAGCCTCAGCCAGAAGACTGGAGCTAGGAGCAAGCAAAGGCGAGTGGAGGAGGGGATGGGGAAGGCTGAGGCTGTTTTCTTCCTGGTCTCTATGTTCCTGAACTTAATTCCAGAACAGCCAAAAGGTGGAAGCCTGACTCGGGCTAAGTTAGTCATGCGTTTTGAGCCTTTGACCATGCTCGGTGAGATGAGGGATGCCTGAGCAGGTTCAGTGAGCAATTTGGTCGAGGTCACCTTGGCTGGTAGAGGAAGGGCACCTGCCCTCCTGTGGAAAAGACAGGAAATGGCTTTCATGTCACTTGTAGGGTAGCATACAATGTGGCAGGCGGGTCTCTGATTGGATGAGCCCAGTGCTGAAGCAGTTTCTGTGTTGATGCTGAACCAGACAAGTGGTTATTGCCGCAGCACGAAAATGAAAAGGTTGCTAGGGAAAGGCAGAGGAGGCAGGAAGTTAAGTGTTATGCTCCCTACATGATGTTGCCACCGCTAGCCACCACCACCACCCTCCATCCATACAGATTACAGATGGGGTTTTTAGGGAATACTAGCTGACAATGAAAATACATTTCAGGTTATCATTTTACCCTCAATGGATGCTTTTCCTGTACTGAACTGAAATAAATGTCAGTCACTGGACCTTCTAAATGCTCAGTTCTTTTAATTAAAAGATGGTTCTAAGCAAGACCCAGTAGTGGTCTATTTATTATTTATCAAGCATTTTCCTTCCAGCAGTTAGTGAAAGGTCATTGGCTTCAACTGAGCTTTGTTTTTGGTGAGCAGCTTAGATGAAAGATACACAATCAATCTCTCCTGTTTGCTCATGGGCAGGACACTGTTTAATAGTCATTGTGGCATTTAGGATCGCAGGCCTCTGAAACATGCAGAAAAGTGCATGTGCATCCCTTGCTGCTGAACATTTCTCCAAAAGTAAACATCAGGTTGTGATTATGGTTAATAATGAGATATTGATTGTTTGAAAATGTCACCGCCTGGGACCTGTCGGTTCCAGCACCACTAGATGGCGCTGCACTCTCATTCTCTTCAACTACAGTCATTTCATTTCCTTGCCTCGGGGTACCTTGCCTTTCAAGGTTGGCGAGTGTCCTTGTAAAATAATGTTCTGGCTGAAATTTAGGAAGCTGAGGTCCTGGGGTGTTATTGGGATGGGGTAGAGATGGGAGGGGACAGGCCGCGGGACGAATGACAAAGGCCTGCCGAGGAAGCGGCACTGTTTGCACCATAATAGGAGCTGGAGAGGAAGGAGCTTACTGCGCTGAGCCCCTGGAGACTGCCCAGAGCAGTGTTTCCTAACCTCCATTCTCCACTCAATGACACATCTGCGAATTTGCTGTGGAGGATGGCGGGAGAGAGAACAGTGCAGGCAGGGAGGCGGAGCAGCGGAAAAAACCCAGACCTTGGAGAACAGACCTGGGTTTGAAACCCTGATCTGTGGCTTTGTCTGCTGACATTAGGGGAGTTAGTGAACCGTCTGACCCTCAGTCTCCTTATCTGTAAAACAGGGGTAGTAGCGTCTACCTCATTGAGTTGCTGTGAGGACTGAATGAGAACCTGAACAAAGTTCTACTCTGTCTTTGCTTTCGACGTCTAAAAGGCTTTCAGCCACTCTTGATTCCCACAGGGTGGGAAGGGATTAACATGCGCTGCATTAACACGGAGAAGAAACGAGAAGCCGTATTGTGCCCCTTTCACCAGCCACTCGTCTAAACAGAGCTTTCTCTATCCCTCACCCCCAGTATCACTCTGTCTGTTATCTCCTTCCAAATTTCTAGCACCAAATAAATGAATCAAATTAGAAAAAAAAAAAATGGGGGTGGGGTAGGGGAGGAAGCTAGAGAATATCTGGGAACTCAGCTGCTTTTGGTACTTTTCCTATGTTGGTAGTTTCACTGGAAAATGTGCATTTATTTAGTAATTTCTTGGATTGTGTGTGCAAGTGTGAGTGTGCACACCTGTGTGTAGAAACCAACATTTTAAATGACACTCATTCTGTTTCTTTTTTCCTGCTTCCTTTTTATAAAAACAGGGAAGAAATCTCGCTTTGTCACTCAGGCTGGGGTGCAGTAGTGTAATCATAGCTCACTGCAGCCTCAACCTCCTGGGCTCAAGTCATCCTCCTGCCTCAGCCTACCAAGCCTACTAGGGCTAATGTGCATGCCACTATGCCAAGCTCATTAAAAAATTTTTTTTTGTAGAAGAAGGGTCTCCCATGTTGCTCAGGCTGGTCTCAAACTCCTGACCTCAAGTGACTCTCCCGTCTTGGCCTCCCAAAGTGCTAGGATTACAGGTGTGAGCCACCATGCCTGGCCCTTTTCTGCCTCCTTGCTGCTCCCCCCTCCCCCATTTCACCTTCCTTTCAGCACACTTTTCTGCTTTCTTCCTCCACCCTCTTTGCCCCAGATTCTTGAGGAAAGCTGGAGGGTTACTACCTAGAGGCCCAGCCAGGGAAAATGGGTCCAACCTCAGAGCCTGGGGACTTGGGGCTATTCAGCAATTAGGGAGGAGTTTCTGAAACTCCTTCTGGAGCTCCTCCCTATGAAGGGCATGGGGAGGCAGTGGGGGCCAGGGCAGAAATGGTGGGGAGGGTGGGGGTGAGGCCTGGAGGGCCAGAAAGATCTATCCATGACCTTCCTGCCCTTCCCACTGTCTCATACCCTCTCGCTCCATTTTACTCTGGTGGGCCCCTCTGCCTTGGATTATCTGGGATGTGAGGCCAGAGGAGCATAGAGCTAAGGGTGCCACCCAGTGGGTTACAGAGGGAGGGCTCTGACCTCTTTCTTCTCTAAATCTCAGTCAAAAGGACTGGGTTCAAATCCTGATACTGGCACTCCTTTGTGGCCATGGCTTTGGACAAATTCCTTGACCATTTTGAGCCACATCCAACCTCAGCCGAGAATCTGGAAGCTAATAGATTCTTGAAGTATATTTGTCAAGTGAACAAATGAATGATTTCCCTATTTTTGACATGGGGAAAATAATGTTAGCACCAAGTACGTTTTGGGGTACAAAACCCAAACCAGTTGCTGGCTGTGCAGAACTTTGTGAACTCTCAAGCCTTCTAGTGTTACACAAAATAAAGATGCAGGAAAGAAGAAATGGCTGTGGAGCTGGTGGTGATGGTCCTGGCCTTCAACCCAGAAGCAGTATAGATTCCAAGAGGAGAGCCCCCGGAGAGGCAGTGCGGCGGATGAGGGACAACCAGTGGAAAAGTCAAGCTTTCTAGTCTCTGCCTGCTAGAGAATTCTGCAGGAAATGCAGGACTGTTCTTCAAAGCCTCTCCTCTCTCAGGTGCTCTGTGGAAACCCTAGGTGAGCTCAGGGTTATCGCTGGAATATTCAGTGCATATGAGGAGGTCCTGAGCTTTATCACCAGCCCCCGTCTAGCATCTGCCCAGTGGGGCGAAACAGCCCTGCTGCTTCTCTGCAGCTCAGGTGGCCTCCTCTGCCCTCCTTGAGCCGTTGCCTTCTCAGGTCTGGCTTCCCGCTGAGAACCAGGCTGGCACAGATGTCACTTGGCTGCTCAAGGCTTCCAGCCCTCTTGAGTGTGATGTCCGGGACAATGGGCTGACTTTGCCACTACTGCCAGCAGCCACAGAATTCCCATAGAATGGGTGGGGGCTCCATTTTCAGATGGGAAAAGGGAGGACTCAGTGCCCGGGATCCAGGTCATCTCAGTGAGTGTGCCTGAGCCACATCTGGTTTCTCTGCCTACCCACCCTCCTAGGCCCCCCGGGGTTAGAACAAGAAGACAGTGGGCTTGATCCTAGAAAAATTCCCATTTAAAACGGAAAGGGTAAAGCTTGTCTTTGGCAACTTTGCCCCATCCCCAACTTCCCCATTTTGTATGTGAGAGAAGAGAAAAGGGCTGTGGGAGGTGGATCAGATGAGGAGGAGAGTCTGGTAACCCAAGCTCCAAGCAGGCAGAAGGCACCAGAATGTCCCACAGTCCTGTAGCATTCTGGCCAGGTCCCCCTGGCCTACTGGGCAGCCTAATGTCTGATACAGCAAGTTCTGGAGTTGGGACTGTTTGTTTTTTGTTTTTTGGTGTTTTTGAGACCGAGTCTCACTCTGTTGCTTGGGCTGGAGTGCAGTGGTGCGATCTCAGCTCACTTCAACCTCTGCCTCCCAGGTTCAAGTGATTCTCCTGCCTCAGCCTCCCAAGTAGCTGGGATTACAGGCACACACCACCACGCCCAGCTAATTTTTAATATTTTTAGTTGAGATGGAGTTTTACCTTTGGCCAAGCTGGACTCGAACTCCTGACCTCGTGATTCACCTGCCTTGGCCTCCCAAAGTACTGGGATTACAGGCGTGAGCCACTGTACCGGGCCCAGGGACTGTTTGTTTCTTCCCTTTTGATAACTGAAATGGGACTAAACTGGCTTTTTTTGTCCTTGTTGTTGAGACGGAGTCTTGCTCTGTGGCCCAGGCTGGAGTGCAGTGGCATGATCTTGGCTCACTACAACTTCCGCCGCCTGGGTTCAAGCGATTCTCCTGCTTCAGCCTCCCTAGTAGCTGAGACTACAGTCACATGCCACCACACCCAGTTAATTTTTGTATTTTTAGTAGAGATGGGGTTTCACCATGTTGCCCAGGCTGGTCTCGAACTTCTGACCTCAAGTGATCCACCCACCTTGGCCTCCCAAAGTGCTAGAATTACAAGCATGAGCGAGTATACCCAGCCATAGATAGACTGGCTTCTTAAAAGTACACCTGAAACAACTGTAATGTCTAAGAAGGTCAAATTTAGGAAAATCTCATCTGCAGGACTGAGGTCCCCTGAGTCATTGGCCACTTGTAATTAATATTAATGAGCTCTAGATGACAGATGTTTATTGCTCAACTGACACATGCGTTGCCAACCCCCAAAGGAGTGGCTCTAAGAGCTAAAGGACTTGAATATACTTTACTGTCACGTTGAAGAGAATAAAACTTGCAGGCTATAGTCAGGGTTTTTTACATATGAGAGCCCAATAACCCACAGACAATATCTGCCTTAAGAAAAAAAGAATTGAATGTACCCCAGTTGTTTACTGACATTTAAAAATGGCTCCCTTTGTTCAAAAATGAGGCAGACATGAGACAGCAGATAGGACACTGGGTAAGTCTCCTGGAGACCCCAGCCTGGCCCCAGCTCATCCACTTGTTGGCTGTATGACTCTGGTAAGTCTTTAAACCTTTTTAGCCATTTGTAAGTTGAGGGGTTGAGTTATAAGATCCCTGAAGTCCTGTTCTTTGGGTCCATGGGTCCAAACAGAGTTCCAAAGAGGAGCAGAGTCAGCACCTTCCAAATTTATGTATTTATTTATTTATTATTATTTTTTTGAGACAGAGTCTCACTCTGTCTCCCCGGCTGGAGTGCAGTGGCGCAATCTCAGCTCACTGCAACCTCTGCCTCCTGGGTTCAAGTGATTCTCCTGCTTCAGCCTCCCGAATATAGCTGAGACTACAGTCATGTGCTACTACACCCAGCTAATTTTTTGTACTTTTAGTAGAGACGGGGTTTCACCATGTTGGCCAGGCTGTTTTCGAACTTTTGACCTTGTGGTTTGCTGCCTTGGCTTCCCAAAGTGCTGGGATTACATGCATGAATCACCGTGCCCGGCTTCCAAGATTTATTAAATAGTAATTTAAAATCTTTTCAGGTTGAGCACGGTGGCTCACACCTGTAATCCCAACACTCTGGGAGGCCAAAGTAGGCAGATCACTTGAGGTCAGGCATTCAAGACTAGCCTGGGCATCATAGTGAGACCCCATCTCTACCAAAATTTTTTTTAAATTACCCAGGCATGTGTGGTAGTGTTGGTGGTCATAGTCCCAGCTACTCTAGAGGCTGAAGTGGGAGAGTCCCCTGACCCAGGAGTTCGAGGTTTCAGTGAGCTATGATCATGCCAGTGCACCCCAGGCTGAGGAACAGAGCAAGACCCTGGCTCAAACAAAACAAAACAACTTTTTGCTTCTAAAATTTGATTATGGAAGCATTTATTTATTTATGGAAGCATTTATAAAAGTAGAGAGAACCATATAAAGATCCTCCATATGTTCATGTAGACTAAACCATTATTAATATTTTGCTATGTTTTTGCTTATCTGTTTTTTTTTTTTTTGAGGCAGGGCCTTGCTCTGTCACTCAGGCGGGAGCACAAATGGCACAATCATGGCTCATTGCAGCCTCAACCTCCTGGGCTTAAAGGATCCACCTGCCTCATTTTTTAATTTTTTGTAGAGATGGGATCTTACCATGTTGCTCAGGCTGGTCTTGAACTCCTGGGCTCAAGCAATCCGGCCACTTTGGCCTCCCAAACTGCTTGGATTACAGGCATGAGCCACTGCTCCCAGTTTTTCTCAAGTATTTTAAAGCAAGTTCCCGCAAAACCTCTCTCAACCAAGGCTTCAGCCTGCTTCTCTGGAAAATAAGACCCTTTCTTATGTCAATAAAATATCATTATCAAACCCAACACATGGTAATTAACAGCCAGTTTTTGAAGATTTCCTCATACTCAGTCCATTTTCAAATGTCTCCACAATTTTCTGAACAGGCTCTCCACCCCTCCTACCCCAGGCCTGTACTTGGGGCTAACTACTTTTAACCATTTCTGTTTTTAATGTGTCTGGTGGGTACCTTTACATCTCTAAATAATTTGCTTTTTTTTTTAGCAGAGTTTCGCTCTTGTTGGAAATAGATGCTCAGTGCTGCAAAGAAAATTTAGCACTGGGCCGGGCGCGGTGGCTCAAGCCTGTAATCCCAGCACTTTGGGAGGCCGAGGCGGGTGGATCACAAGGTCAAGAGATCGAGACCATCCTGGTCAACATGGTGAAACCCCGTCTCTACTAAAAATACAAAAAATTAGCTGGGCGTGGTGGCACATGCCTGTAATCCCAGCTACTCAGGAGGCTGAGGCAGGAGAATTGCCTGAACCCAGGAGGCGGAAGTTGCGGTGAGCCGAGATCGAGCCATTGTACTCCAGCCTGGGTAACAAGAGCGAAACTCCGTCTAAAAAAAAAAAAAAAAAAGAAGAAAATTTAGCACTGAGACAAAGGACCTTTCAGCAATGCAATTTTTACTTCCCGAACTGCAGGAAGGATACCCTCACTGGCCATTGTGCCATGAGAGTACAATAAACAAAGGAAAACACACAAATTTATCCCTTACGCATTTGGGGTTGTCCTTACTGCTGTGTCTGATCTTGCTTGGCTGGAGCCAGACCTCATGATCTAAACTAAAACCCAATTGGCTAACAACTTAAAACTTTTCTAAACAAGTTAAAGCAATGGAGAGCTGGGACAGGCCTGTGAGCACGTCCAGCACAGATATCTTGGTTAAAGTACAAGGACATAGAATGTATTTTGTGTCTGTAAGCATGGCATGTCTAACAGCTACATAGAATAGGGCTTAACAAAGTCATTAGCACCCTTATGTTTTAACAAGAAAGGAAACTTTAAAAAGGAACTTTTCTACTTCCCACAGCTCTTCTTGCCCAGGCTGGAGTGCAGTGGTGTGATCTTGGCTCACTGTACCTCCACCTCCCAAGTTCAAGCGATTCTCCTGTCTCAGCCTCCCAAGTAGCTGGGATTACAGGCATACACCACCACGCCTGGCTAATTTTATATTTTTAGGAGCGATGGGTTTCTCCATGTTGGTCAGGCTGGTCTTGAACTCAAGACCTCAGGTGATCCACCCGCCTCAGTGCTGGGATTACATGTGTGAGCCACCACATCCGGTCGAATAATGAGCTTTATCATTGTTTCTTGCTTTACCAGCTGCAGTCACTGTCTCTTGGCTTTCAGCTGTGATCGATGAGAGTTTAGTTAACTTAAATTCTTCTTTCCTTCCAGTGTGGTATATTTTTCATTTTAGTTCCTCTGTGTAGCAACCTTTATTAACATTCTGTTTTTGAGTCAAATTGTGTCCTTGTGAAAGATATGTTGAAGTCATAATCACTGGTGCCTATGAATGTGATCTTATTTGGAAATAGGGTCCTTGCAGATCTTGAAGTTAAGATGAGGTTATATCGGATTAGGGTTGACCCTGAATCCAGGGACTGGTATCCTTATAGGGAGGGAGAGATTTGGAAATAGGCACACAAAGAGGAAAGATAGCCACGTGGCGATGGAGGCAGAGATTAGCAATGCAGCTCCAACAACCACCAGCAGCTGGAGGATTCTTCCCTGGAGCCTTCAGAGGGAACACCACCCTGCCAATACCTTGATTTCAGACTCTGGCCTCCAGGACTGGGAGAGAATAAATTTCTGTTGTTTGAAACCACTCTGTGTGTGGCGATTTGTTATGGTGGCCTTAGAAACGAGTTCCTCTACCTTTGTATCATTCCATAATAAACTTTTGGTTCTATTTATTATTCCATCAGCTACCCCTTAACGTCCTCCTTTGTTCTCTCTCTCTCCTTTTTTTTTTTTTTTGAGACAGAGTCTTGATCTGTTGCCCAGGCAGGAATGCAATGGCACGATCTCGGCTCACTGCAACCTCTACTTCCTGGATGCAAGAGACAGATTCTTGTACCTCAACCTCCCAAGTAGCTGGGATTACAGGCACCCACCACCACACCCAGCTAATTTTTGTAATTTTAGTAGAGATGGGATTTTGCCAAGTTGGCCAGGCTGGTTTTAAACTCCTGACCTCAGGAGATCCACCCACCTCAGCCTCCCAAAGGGTTGGGATTACAGGCGTGAGCCACCGCACCTGGCTCGCTTCCTCCTTTGTAAGATGAAGGTAAGAGCCAACGTTTGCAACAGACAGCTGGATGGACTCAGGGTCCAAGAAGTCTGAGTGATCACGAGAAACACTAAACAAGGGGTGAATGCCTTCAGATCCCAGGTCTGTAGACTATCTTATGGCTTGTCTGCAGCTACGAGTCCCAGGCTGCTGAGCAGGAGTCTGAAGGGGAGTGCTTCCCAGAGTTAAGGCTGCGTCCATCCCCAGACTACAGCGGCTGAGTTGGTCTGCTTCCCTCTTGCTCATGAAGGCCTGTTCTCGCAGGAAATGTCCCAGAAGCTGGCAGTAAACACAAGTTGCCTTATAGAACATCTTCTTTTTTTAAATTTAATTAATGATTTTTATTTTTTTTTAGAGACAGGGTCTCACTCTGTCACCGAGGCTGGAGTGCAGTGGCTTGATCAAAGTTCACTATAGCCTCAATGTCCCAGGCTCAAGTGATCCTCCTGCCTCAGCCTCCTGAATAGCCCGAACTATAGGTACATGACACCCTGTCTCATTTTTCTTGTCTTGTCTTTTTTTTTTTTTTTTTTTGAGACAGAGTTTTGTTCTTGTTGCCCAGGCTGGAGTGCAATGGCATGATCTTGGCTTGCCGAAACTTCTGCCTCCCAGGTTCAAGTAATTCCCCTGCCTCAGTCTCCCAAGTAACTGGGATTACAGGCTTGCACCACCACACCTGACTAATTTTGTATTTTTAGTAGAGATGGAGTTTCTCCATGTTGATCAGACTGGTCTCAAACTCCTGACCTCAGGCGATCCACCTGCCTCGGCCTCCCTGGGATTACAGGTGTGAGCCATTGCACCCGGCCTCATTTTTCAATTTTTTTTTGTACAGATGGGGTCTTTTTTTGATTCCCAGGTTGGTCTTGAACTCCTAGACTCAAGCGATCCTCCTGCCTTGACCTTCCAAAGTGCTGGGATTACCGGTGTGAGCCACCGCGCCCGGCTGAGCCGCTTCTTCTGAACCCTGCTTTGACATTAAACCATTACGATGCATCAAGGGCTGCTAGGAAATGGTTGCATGAGGCATGCTTCTGTTTTTTTTTTTTTTTGTAGGAATGTTATTGCCCATTTTTTCTTCTATGAAGGCCTATGGGAGAAATTTCCTTCACAACTTAGCTTAAGAAAAAAAAAACTGTGCTGCTTTTGAACAACTGGGGTGGTTTACTTCCATGGTCTTGGTAAATGTGGTGTCTTAGTTTCCCTCTTAGCTTTGGCTGTCAGGAAATTCAGAGCTTAATTTACAGTCACATGCAGCTCTGGAATAGGAGATGGCATTGTCTTTATTATTATGAAATATTTCAGGCATTCAAAAATTACAGTGACTGTACAACAAATATCCACGTACTCAGGTTAAGACATGAGCCTCTTGTATCCATTCCTGATCCCTTTTCTCTTTTTCCCTACTCTTGTGGTGGACATTTTCCTGGACTTGCTGTTTATCTTTGTCATTTAAAAAAATATGTTTTTTTCTACAAGCATATGCATCTATAACAAATGTATAGTATTGTTTTACACATTTTAAAATATTATATAAGTGGCTTTATACTGCATGTATCCCTCTTTTTTAATTTGATCTTTTTACTCAAGAGTTTTATTTTGAAACTTACCTGTTTTGCCACGTGTAACTCTAGTTAATTCATTTTCACTGCCGTATGGTATTCTATTATAAGACTAGATGCACGAATACGTAGCGTTTAAGAGTATAGCTCTGGGGCCAGGCTGCCTTGGTTCAAACTCCAACGCTGCCACTTACTAGTTCTGTGACTGGGCAAATGACAACCTCTTCTCCATGACTCTGTTTCTTCATCTGTAAAATGGGTCTAATGATACCACCTATTTCATAGAGGTGGAAAAAAATGATTTAATAGGTGAAAAGCATTTAAAATATTCCTGGTAAGTAGTGTAAGAGTTGGTCTCATAAGCACTAATGGAACATTCTTTTTTTTTTTTTTGAGACAGAGTTTCGCTCTTGTTGCTGCCCAGGCTGGAGTGCAGTGGCACAATCTCAGCTCACCGCAACCTTTGACTCCCAGGTTCAAGCGATTCTCCTGCCCCAGCCTCTGGAGTAACTGGGATTACAGGTATGTGCCACCAAGCCTGGCAATTTTTGAATTTTTAGTAGAGAGGGGATTTCTCCATGTAGGTCAGGCTGGTCTCGAACTCCCGACCTCAGATTATCCACCCGCCTCAGTCTCCCGAAGTGCTGGGATTACAGGCGTGAGCCACTGCGCCTGGCAGAACATTCTTTTAAGAAATGCCATATCGCTAATGTCCTTCATGGAACAGAACAGGAAGGTATGTAGAAAAATCACAGACATCAATGCCACTGAGTCCAAAAGGGATTCAGACATGTCAGACTGAACAGAAAGATGTTTTAAGACCACATTAATAAATTTAGTTCACCTATAGCTCCTATTTTTATGTACATAGTAGAATAAAAATACAAAGTAAATAAAGGGTTATTTCCATAATTAAAAAATAAACATTAGAAGTGATTTTCAGCTGGGTATGGTGGCTCACACCTGTAATCCCAGCACTTTGGGAAGCTGAGGTGGGAGGATCACTTCAGCCCAGGAGTTTGAGACCAACCTGGGCAACATGGTGAGACCCTATCTCTACAAAAAATAAAAACAATTAGCCTGACTTGGTGGTGGACACCTGTAGTCTCAGCTACTTGGGAAGATCCCGTGAGCTGCAGTGAGCTATGATTGTGCCACTGTACTCCAGACTGGGTGACAGAACTGAGACCCTGTCTCAAAAAAAAAAAAAAAGTGATTTTTTCTAGAGAGTTGGTCATTATTAAGGCTAGGCATGGTGGCTCACACCTGAAACCCCTGCACTTTGGGAGGCCAAGGTGGGTGGATCACAAGGTCAGGAGTTTGAGACCATCCTGGCTAACATGGTGTAACCCCCATCTCCACTAAAAACACAAAAAATTAGCCAGGTGTGGTGACGGGCACCTATAATCCCAGCTACTTGGGAGGCTGAGGCAGGAGAATTGCTTGAACCTGGGAGGCAGAGGTTGCAGTGAGCCGAGATTGCACCACTGCACTCCAGCCTGGGTGACAGAGTAAGACTCCGTCTCAAAAAAACAAAAAAACACGAGAGTTAACTCTTATTGTTATATGTTTATTTTCCTCTTGGTGGAGGTTTAAGTTGCTTCTAGGTTTTTGTTTTTTGTTTGTTTCTGTCTCTAGAATGTTGCAGGGAACATTATTATCCCTGTTTCTTTGTGCACGTGTGTAAGAAAGAGTCGCTCTGAGCCAGGGCATACCGTTAGGAGTGAAACTGCTGGGCTGTAGACAATGCTCATCTTTTGCTTTCTGGGTGATGCCAAGTTGCTCTCCAGAGTGGTTGCACTGAATTTCTCCCACTGGAGAGTATGGGTGTGCCTGTGACCCCACTCTTACTGATTCTTGGCATTGTTTTTGTACATTACTTTTGCCTAAACTTTATTTAATCTTTCTCCCCCTTTTCCCAGATGTCCCCATTTCTTGATATTCATCCTATTATATATTTCCGTAAGCACCTTTTTATTCACTCTCTGCCTTTTTTCTTTTGAATGAAGCAGCATATAAATACATAAACATTAGACAGGGTCCCCCAGAATGAAGAACACAGTCTATAGGGGCTGCTGGCTATACTTGGCCTGGACCTAAGACTTGCAGGCACTCAGCACCGTAAAGGTAGCTGTTAGTAGAGGCAAAAATTTGCTGCATGTTTATTATATGATAAGTGCTCTATAAACCTTATCTTATTCAATTTCACAGCAACTCCATGAAATAGAACTGTTATTCCAGGAATTTTGATTCAAACAAGGCAGAATGATGCCAGAGTCTATACTTTTTTTTTTTTTTTTTTTTTTTTTTTTTTTTTTGAGACAGGGTTTCATTCTGTCGTCTGGGCTGGAGTGCAGTGGCACGGTCTCAGCTCACTGCAACCTCCACCTACCGGGTTCAAGCAATTCTCCTGCCTCAGCCTCCTGAATAGCTGGGATTACAGGTGTCCACCACCATGCCCAGCTAATTTTTGTATTTTTAGTAGAGATGGGGTTTCACCATGTTGGTCAGGCTGGTCTCGAACTTTTGACCTCATGATCCACTTGCCTTGGCCTCCCACAGTGCTGGGATTACAGGTGTGAGCCACTGCTCTCTGCCCAGAGTCTATACTTTTAACCATAGTCTTCCTACAGGGCTGCCATGTGGGGTGACTCAGGGCACACGTTGCACAATTCCAGGGGCACCTTTTGCGCAGACTACAGTGTGAATGGCACCCCTCTGGGACATGCATTGCAGTGGTCCTGGCCTTCTAAGTAAAAGCTTAAAATGCTTAGATATGACAGGCTTAGAAGAGTAAGCCCCACTACACACTGAGGGGCCTTTCTGCTCTGGATTTATGGTGCTTTCTTAAGGTCATGGTTCTTCATGTTTTAAAAGCCTATTGGCATGAGAGCCCTCCCACCTATATAAACATTTGCTTAGGAGGGGAGAGCCCAGCATGGGTCCTGCGCTCTGACACCAGCCGTGTAAGGGCACAGACTCGGCTGCTGTTCGTGGCTTTCTCTCTTGGCCACTGCAGACTTATTGAGCAATATATTATGAGTGTGCCTCACTCTGATGATGTGTTATGGATAAATCATTAAGGAGGCAGCTCACCACAGTGATGTATTGGTGTAATAGATCATCAGAGTGAAGTCTTCTACCGACATACGGGCTGGCTCAAAGGGTGGTGTCATTCAGGGAAGAATTAGCGCAGCAGCAGATCTGGCTTAATTACAGGATAAAAGGTTTGTGAATGATAGGTTGAAGTCTGCAGCACCAGCATTTTGATTCTTGATGTAAAAATATAATTGGGCTTCCTGAGAGAATTTTTGATTATTTTCAAACACCCTTCTGCTTTATCACAACAGCACAACTTGCCACGTGGCTGCAGGGGAACCTTTTATCGGGAGGGGATCTCCAGGCCCTTTCCCCATCTGAATTATCGTCCTCCTTTCAATTTGTAGGTCATAGAATGAGTTAAGGGAGATAAAACTCAGGAGGCCTGCCTTTCAGGCCTCCAGAATAATGTCTTTAGCAACTGGTCCATTGGAATCCAGTGATTTATTCAAATCATCATTAACGAAGGCAGTGGTTTCCAACTACCGAATGAAGACTGAGCATGTGCAGGGGAGAGGGGATGGTCTGGTGAGTATGTGTCTCAGGCCATCAGCACCTTAAGTATAATAATAACAATAAATAATGTTTGCCCAACACTTAACAGGAGTTGTTGTGCTAAACATTAGGCTAAAGGCTTTGCATGTATCATTTAATCTCATTTAGTCCACTTGACAACATTGTGAGACAGGCATTATAATTTTTTTTTTGAGAGGAAGTCTCATTCTGTTGCCCAGACTGGAGTGCAGTGGCGCAATCTCAGCTCATTGCAACCTCTGCCTCTTATGGTCAAGCAATTCTCCTGCCTCGGCCTCCCTTGTAGCTGGAATTACAGGCACCTGCCACCATGCCTGGCTAATTTTTGTTATTTTAGTGGAGATGGGGTTTCACCATGTTGGCTAGGCTGGTCTCAAACTCCTGACCTCAGGTGATCCGCCCTCCTTGACCTTCCAAAGTACAGCGATTACAGGTGTAAGCCAATGTGCCTGGCCTATGATTTTTACTAGTCCCATTTTCCAGATGAGAAAACCAGCCAAGAGCTGGCCTTATTGGCCAAGGTTACACAACTGCTCAGTAGCAGAGCCGGTGCACCTGAGGCTGCGGGTGATTCTTATGCACCCCCCTTCCCACCCCCAATGCCCCCCTTCCTTTGAAGACCCTAAACCGGTGCTTCTGGAACTGCAGGCCTTGGTAAGCAGAAAGATGTGTTTGTTGAAAAATCAATTATTTTGTTTTAAGACACATAAATCAACTTTAGGTCTTTCTTAACACCTATTAGTAGGGTCCCCAGTTTGGCCTGAGTCGGTAATTTCTTGAAAAGCTTCTAGGATGAGGCTTCCTAGCAATGGTAGGCAAAACTATGTGGACCGACTCTCCTGCTGGAGACAACTAACAAAGCCGCGTAAACTATTTTTTGGAAATCTTCAGTAGAATTAAATTGCTGACAAGACAGTAAGAAATGACTAGGTCAGCAGGGAAGAGAGAAATGGAACCAGAGAGATGAAGGCACACCAAAGCTCCTTTTGCCCTGTGGGTATTAGCGGATCCTCTGCGGGGAATTTTCCTGGATGGGAAACTTTCCTGGCTGGACGAGAGTGCAGAAATGGAAGCCAGGAGCCAGTCAAGGAGAGGCAGGCCTCCTACAGTACACTGGGACCCCCAGGGGTATATCCTGAGGGTGAGGGTGACTAGAACTGGAGCCACCCTCCTGCAGAATCATAACTCAGGCTCCAATTACTCAGATTGTCCCAGTCTGGGAAATCCCAAATCTTGGATTTGGCTTAAGGTGGTCTCAGACTGGTATGGCCCCAACACATTACAGAAACAGATCACCTCTGGGTATACCTACACCCTGAGGCTTCCTATTATTCCTGTACATAATTTAAAAAGTACTGAAACATGGTCAAAGATAACCAGGTACACAAGGAAACCAGATCCCTGAGTAAGAACCAGCAAAAACACAATAGAAGCAGATCTATAAAGATGTAAGCTATTGATATTATTGAATTACAGACAATATGTGACTTTTCTTGCTTATGTTTAAATAAAAGATAAGCTTGAAGATATATTCAGAGAACAAGAAACAATTTTAAAATTTATTATAGAACAAATATGTTCTTGATAATCTTGTTCTCACCTCCCACTTTACCTGCCCAAAGCAGAAGAAAATTCTGAACTGCAAAATTGATTTCATTTTTATTTATTTATTTATTTTTGAGATGGTGTCTCACTCTGTTGCCCAGGCTGGACTGCAGTAATATGACCTTGGCTCACTGCAACATCTGCCTCTTGGGTTCAAGCGACTCTCCTGCCTCAGCCTCCTGAGTAGCTGGGATTGCAGGTGTTCGACACCCCACCCCACTAATTTTCGTACTTTCAATAGAGATGGGGTTTTACCATGTTGGCCAGACTGGTCTTTAACTCCTGACCTCAAGTGATCCACCCATCTTGGCCTCCCTAAGTGCTGAGATTATAGGTGTGAGCCCCCGCACCCAGACTGGACAGCAAAATTTAATATGAAAATCTCACTTGGCTCAGTATTAGGCAAATTATGGAAGACATTGTCCTCTCCTTAGTATGTATATTGTCAACAAAGAAGGTCAAACCTAGAACTTCTTTTTGGCTTTTGCTTGTGACTCTTTTAAAAATTAGAATTTGAGGCTGGGTGCGGTGTCTCATGCCTGTAATCCCAGCACTTTGGGAGGCCAAGGGGGGCAGATTACTTGAGGTCAAGAGTTTGAGACCAGCCTGGGCAACGTGGTGAAACCCTGTCTCTAGCAAAAATGCAAAAAATTAGCTGGGCGTGGTGGCAGGTGCCTGTAATCCCAGCTACTCAGGAGGCTGAGGCAGGAGAATTGCTTGGATCTGGGAGGTGGAGTTTGCAGTGAGCCAAGATCACGCCATTGCACTCAAGCCTGGGGGACAAAATTAGACTCCATCTCAAAAAAATAAAAAAATTAGAATTTTATTAATAATACGGAAATAAGAATTACCTTTAAATAAATTGACTAAAAAATCTTGAGAAAATACAATAGAAAATATACCTTACTCCCGTTCTCCAAAAAGCAGGGAGGAAATACAGCCTGAAATTTTTAAATCATTGTAGAAACTATTCAATTCAAGATGTAAGCGTTAAAGTACAAAACGTAAGTGGCTGTAATGTTATGATGTGTAGATGACATGACCAAAAATACTTGGGATGTTGGAGTGTAACATCATAGTTTAAAAACACAAGCTCTACATCAGACACAGCAGGCTGGAGTCTGGCTCTGACACATTTTGGAATCTTGGGCAAGTTATTTAACTTCTGAGAGCTTCGGTTTGCTTATCTGCAGTATGGGGGTAATAAGAGCACTTCTCCTGCTTCTTAGAGATTCTGCATGTTAAGAATTCGGCATTCTGCCAACGTGAAACTTGCCACTGTGACTTTAGCTTCTTGGAATAGACAGCATTACTGCATCCAGATGAAAGTGGTATTTGCATTTTGCTTGCTCTTGAAATCCAGGAAGACTTTATGTAAAGAGAGTGATTACCTATGTGTAACTAGTCAGAAAAACTCTCTTACCGTAAAAAGTTGATGAAATTTGGCTCATGAGGACTAACTCAGGGCAGCTTAACTTGGATATTGACAGTGAGCCTTTTGATAAAAAAGGCACTTACTCCGGACTCGAAAATTAAGGCCATTTCCTTGTGAAGGGTAGAAATCCAGGTGAGACAAGATTGATAATCCTGCACTGCAGAATTTATTAAAGATGTCCAGATTTAAAATTGGGTTGTCTGTCAATCAATCAGCCTGTTTTCTACATTTTTCTCTGTCATTTACGAAAAATATTCCTGTGTAACACTGAATTCCCTGTGGACGTCATCAATGCTAATAGCCCTTCCTCTTTCATTCAGAAGGACAAGCTCGGTCATGTTTCCTAGCAGAGGTCCCTGGATTTGTCCTTGTCTTGCTGAAGGCATCACTATTATTATTTGAAGCGATTTCAGTTATTTGGTTTCAAGTGGGGAAGGAGGCCACTGATGGGTGGTATAGGCTGCACTCTTTCTTTTGGGTAATTTCCTTGAATCCCAGTGAGAGGGGACAGGTTGGAAACAACCAACCTGAAGACTAGTCAAAGGCTCAACTGTTGATTGGCAGATCACTGTGTAACTGTTTGGGTCCCTTAACTCAGGGGACTGAGTCAGTATTGTTTGTGTTTCCCAATATCTCAGCCTGAGCTTGGGAGATGTCTGAGCTTGGGCTCCCTGGAAACAGACTCTGAGATAGAGAGCTTCATGCAGAGCATTAATTAGGAGTGTTCTTGGGAACTCCCTGGCTGGCAAGTGGGCCAGGGAGGCAGGGCGGGGCAGAGAGAGAAGCTGCCCCACGATGTGCTGGCCGTGGAGACCTCAGTCAGTTCTACAGGGAGCTCGAGCTGGGATGACTCTCCAGAGTGGTCCTGTTGTAAGAGAACTGGGGCTGTGCATCCCCATCAACCAGCCATTGACTAAGGCCATCCCTCAGGAGAAGATGTGCCTTGGGCCGTGCATTTCCAGTGAGGGAGGACCATCTGAGCCATCAGCAGCCCCTATTCTCAGTAGCTAGGGGATGGGTTTGTGGTCCCTGAAAAGGGATCTGGGTGGGCAGTGTTTGACAGACAACCCTTTGAGCAGCTCCAAGTCACTTGTTTCTTGTAGGAAGTTTGTTCCATCTCTGATGGCTTCTCCATGATTGTAGTTAGTTTTGTTTCCTGGGGAAACTGACAAGAGAAGGGTTAATGTGACAAACACAGCCCCGATGCTGCATTTGATCTCAAGGTTCTCCCTGGTGCTCCTTATGCCCCTCTCTACCACCTGTACCAGAGTCTTCCTGCCCTTGACTGGCATCTCTGCTGGTCTAAGTGACTTGTTTGGTGGGATGACCTAGACCCTCACTCCTGTGGGTTCTGACCAAGCTACCATGCTGTTTTCAAGACCTGGTTGTTGTACTTGTCCATTTGTCATATCTATAACATGGGCTTGGAATGCCAAGAAATACCCCAGTGGATTATCCAAATGCCAAATGTATTCCTCCCTGCCTCCACCAACTGGCAGCAGCCCCAGCTCACACTGCCACACTGAGCTGACCCTTCTATGAACGAACCTGACCTTTTGCTTCTGCTGTCAGCTGGCCATAAGGAACCCCTCATGCAGCCGTAGGTGAGCACTGAGGGCCAGGGGCTAGGGCAATATTGACATGTGACATGAGAGCCTGGGCTGCCTGCACATGCAGCTTCCTGGTGCCGATCCTGAATGTACCGCTTCTGTTGAATGACCAATTGCTGCTGGGCTTGCCTGCCCTCGTGACTGTGGCTCTGACAGGTCCAGTTCATGATGGGCAGTTGCAGTTGCCTGGTTACTTGTGGTCACTTGGTCAAAAGCCTCATCTCTACAAGGGTCCAGTAGCATTCTGGGACCTTCCTTCCTTCCTTTCTTCTTTTCTTCCTTCCTTCTTTCTTTCCTTCCTTCCTTCTCTCCCTCCTTCCTTCCTTTTTTTCTTTTTTTGAGATGGAGTCTCACTCTGTTGCCCAGGCTTAGGCATAGTGGTGAGATCTCAGTGCAAGCTCTGCCTCTTGAGCTCAGACGATTCTCCTGCCTCAGCCTCCCAAGTAGCTGGGATTACAGGTGGTAGAGACAAGGTTTCACCATGTTGGCTAGGCTGGTCTTGAACTCCTGACCTCAGATGATCCTTCCGCCTTGATCTCCCAAAGTGCTGGGATTTCAGGGGTGAGCCACCGCACCTGGCCTGTGAGCTACTTTTCAATGGGTGTGTAGTTTTTCTTGCAGACTGCATGCCCTGTTTCAGAACTCTAGGCATCTATAATATTATTTCTTATTGGGGCTCACCAGAAACTCCATGTAGTGTTTCCTCCTCCACGAAAAACACAGGGTCTTTCCTACCACAGAGCCTGCCGAGTCACACAGCACAGGAGGCAGGGCTTTCTGAGCACAGCCCGAACCTGCTGCAGAGCCCTTTTCTGCCCTGGGTCCCATTCAAAGTTGGCAGCCTTCTTTGTTACCTGCAGGGTTAGAGTAGTATTCTGTAGTGTGGACTATGGCACCTCCAGAATCTGATGAGGCCCACCAAGCATCATACTTCTTGATTTGTTGTGGGAGCTGAGGCTCTGGAGCTCTGGAGGGGGGATGGAGCTCTTTAGGGTTCTTCTAAAGTGATACAAAAAAAAAAAAGTAGGTGTTTTGCATCCCTGCCTCAGCCAGTGCTTGATCATAGTCTGTCCCCTGGAAGGGGCATAATATTGGGCAGGACAGTTCCTTGTGACCAGAGTAATCCCAGTGAGGGATGTAGTTGTGAGCTTAGTCCCCATAGCTGAAACAGGTGAAGAGGGGGTCTGGGCCGGGGACCACGGCATTCACGACGCACAACCCAACTCCAGGGACAGGACACAGTGAGGCAAGTGAGACACCTAGGGAACAAGTGGAGGGAGTCCCTCACGCTCAGGCCATGTGAGTGCAGATTCAGCTCCTGCCTCACCCTAGTCCTGGGCCTGCCAAACACCCATGGGAACCTAATTGCAGGAAATGGTAGAAAGTTCAGTTTGGCCAAGAGAATCTGCATATCTCCGTGAAGATGGTCTCTTTCTGAAACTGGTGGAATGATTTCTTGGACAGCATTGTCCTAGACGATTTCCTTTCCACTTCTCTGCAGGGGACAGGGAAGGGTGGACACTAGAGAAAGTTATCACCTGTCACAATGGCCAGAAAATTCAAAATACCTTTCCTACCCCATCATTTATTCTATGACTTTATTTGTCTGAGCCCCATGGTCATCTTTGTGTTATGGAGTGAAATCAAAGGAAGGAGTTTAAGCTAGAAGATTTTGAACTTGCCTTCCGTTATTACGGCATCAAAGATATTGTCTAATCCTGATCCTGCTGGCCAGCTTCCATAGGTAGAACCAGCCCAGAAGCATCAGGTCCCACCGGCATGAGGGAATGAATTACACAATGGTCAAAAGAGAGAAGACCAGCCAGGCCATTCTGGGAGAGGAGGAGACGACTGGAAGGCTAGAGAAACTTAACTCACAGGCAAGCAGGAATTAGAGCTTGTTATAGTCTAAATGTTTGTGTCTCACCAAAATTTCTATGTTGAAACCTAACCCCTGAGGTGATGGTATTAAGAGGTACAGCCTTTGGGAGGTGATTAGGTTATGAGGGCAGCATGAATGGGATTAATCGATTATAAAAGAGGTGGAGCGGCGGGATGTGGTGGCTCACGCATATAATCCCAGCACTTTGGGAGGCTGAGGCGGGCAGATCACCTGAGGTCAGGAGTTCGAGATCAGTTTGGCCAACGTGGTGAAACCCCATCTCTACTAAAAAATACAAAAATTAGCCAGGTGGCAGGTGCCTTTAATCCCAGCTACTTGGGAGGCTGAGGCAGGAGAATCCCTTGAACTTGGCAGGTGGAGGTTGCAGTGAGCCAAGATCATGCCATTGCACTCCAGCCTGGGGCGACAAGAGTGAAACTCCATCTCAAAAAACTAAAATAAAAATAAATAAAAGAGATGGCGCCTGTTTTCCCCTTCTGCTGTGTAAGGATGTAGCAAGAGGTGCCATCTATGAAGAATGGGCCCCCACCAGGCACTGCATCTGCTGGCGCCTTGGTTGTGAACTTCTCAGCCTCCGGCACTGTGAGCAATAAATTTCTATTGTTTACAAATTACCCAGTCTAAGGTACTTTGCTGTAGTAGCACAAATGGACAAAGACAGAACCCAATGTTAAGAGAGAACAGGAGTTCAGTACAGAGCAGGCTGAGTGAAGTAAGACATGAGTGTGGGGCTGGATCATTCCTAGACTGACCCTGAGCACACTGGATTCTGATCATGACATCCGGGGCATATGTGGGCATCCATGGATAAGGTTGTCTTTCATAATCTTGGACCACCTTTCCCAACTTAATATATACAACTACGGCATTTCTAATCAGATCTCATTGCAGTTTTTATTTTTAACTTAATAACTTGATAATAAAATCTAACTGGAAGAATAAATGCATAAAATTAGCCAAAATAAAAATTTGAAATATAAGCATATAATATTATGTATATAATACTAGCTATCAAATACATTATAAAGCAACAACAATTAAAACAGCATTGTACATGTATAGGAACAGGCAATTAGACCAGGGGGTACAACAGGGAGTCTAGAAAAAAACCCTGTGTGTATATGATAATTAAATATATGACAGAAACACCATTTTGCATCAGTAAGAGAGGATGGTTTATTACATAAACAGTGTTAGGGATAGGTTGTGAATTTCAGAGATAATTTAAATTTGGTTCCTGTGCCCATTTTCTGGTTCCATACATGAAATAAATCTGAAATGGATTAAAGTGCTAAAAATAAAAATTAAAATGATAAAAGTGCCAGAAGAAAATATAGGTTTTTTTATTTTAGCATGACACAAAAACCAGAAGACAGCAGGAAAAGAACAACAGTCTAACTACGTAAACAAACAAACAATAACAACTTTTGTATGGTGAAAAATGCCACAAACAAAAGTTAGAGTGGAAGAAAACATTTTAAACAAACATAACTGATAAAAGTGTCACATTCATGGTATACAAAAATGTCCTACAAATCAGTGAGCAAAACAAATACCATAGATAAATGAACACAGGCGACATCCAGGCGATTCACCAAAGAAGAAACCCATGTGACATAGAAAGCATGAAATGAAAGTCTACGTCAGCAACAAAATATAAAACAACACAACTAAAACCAAAAGGAGATGTAGTTCCCTATCAAAATTAGCCAAAATTAAACAGATTGCCAGCGATCAGTATTTGGAAGGATACAGATAAAAAGGCATCCATAGCTGACAAAACTAAAAACTTGCCATAACACATCTGATGAAGAGTCTGGCAGTTACAGTCAAATTTAAAATATATTTTCTCATTGAGCCAGAAATTATACTTTTAGGAATGTATCATACAGAAACCCTTCTTTAAGAGAGAAGAGATGAATGCCTACGTATGTTTACTTAGCATTCTTTGTTATAGAAAAATACTGCAAATAATCCTTCAGGGTAAGAGAGGTTGGATAAGTTGTAGAAAATCCATACAATGGAAAACTATTAGAAAGAATAGCTCTGCAGAGATGGAGCTATGTCCACAACAAGCTGTTAATTTTTTTAAGAAGAGTGAATTGATGAATGATACATAAAGCAAAATTCCATTTATTAAAGATTACCTCAGCCTCCTCAGTAGCTGGAACTACAGGTGCTCACCACCATGCTGGGCTAACTTAAATTTTTTTTTTCTTTTGTAGAGAAAGGGGTCTTACTGTGTTGACCAGCCAGTTTTGAATTTCTTACTCAAGGTATACTCCTGCCTTGGCTTCCCAGTGTTGGGATTATAGGCGTGAGCCAGTACCTGGTGTATTATAGATTTTTTTTGTTTGAGAGAGGGTCTCACATTGTTACCCAGCCTGAAGCGCACTGGTGAGATCCTGGCTCACTGCAGTTTCCGATTCCTGAGTTCAAGCGATTCTCCTGCCTCTGCCATCCAGTAGCTGGACTACAGGTATGAGCCATCATGCCTGGCTAATTTTTGTATTTTTCGTAGAGACAGGGTTTCACCATGTTCCCCAGGCTGGTCTTGAACCCCTGACCTCAAGCGATCTGCCCATCTCAGCCTCCCAAAATGCAAGGATTACAAGATGTGAGCCACCATTTGTAGAATTTTTAAAACACATTAAAAGTAAAGAGTATAGTGTAATGAAACTCCATATCTCATCACCGGGTTGCAATATATATATATATATATACATTTTTTTTTGAAATGGAGTCTCACTCTGTTGCCCAGGCTGGGGTGCAATGGTGCCATCTTTTCTCACTGCAACCTCTGGCTTCCAGGTTCAAGCAATTCTCCTGCCTTAGCCTCCCTAGTAGTTGGGATTACAGGCGTGTACCACCATGCCTGGCTAATTTTTGTATTTCTTTTAGTAGAGATGGAGTTTCACCATGTTGGCCAGGCTGGTCTTCAACTCCTGTCCTCAAATGATTCACCTGCCTCGGCTTCCCAAAGTGCTGGGATTACAGGTGTGAGCCACCACACCCGGCTGGTTGCAACAATTTTAAGTTCTTGGCTATTGTTTTTCCATCCCACTCATTGGCTCCTTCACCCATGGATTACTTTGAAGCAAATCCCATATACCCTATCACTGTACCCATAAATAACCTTGGAGCCACTTTCACGTTTAAAGTATGACACAGGCCGAGAAGAAGGGCTCAGAGGATACACACCAAGTTGATATTAGTAGGATTGAGGAGTAAGAGTTTTTATTTTAAACACTTTAGATTACTAGACATATAATTTATTTTTGCATTACTTTTTTTTTTTTTAATTTAGACTTGTAAGCAAAAAAGTGAGAGACCAGGTGCGGTGACTCATGCCTGCAATCCCAGGGCTTTGGGAGACCGGGGCAGGTGCATCGTTTGAGCCCAGAAATTTGAGACCAGCCTAGGCAACATGGTGAAACCCTGTTTCTACAAAAAAATACAAAAGTTAGCCAGGTGTGGCTGCGCACGTCCACGGTCCTGGCTATTTGGGAGCCTAAGGTGGGAGGACCACTTGAGCCCAGGAATTCCAGGTTGCAGTGAGCTATGACTACACCACTGCACTCCAGCCTGGGTAACAGAGTGAGATTCTGTTAAAAAAATGAAAAAGAGGCCAGGCGCGGTGGCTCAAGCCTGTAATCCCAGCACTTTGGGAGGCCAAGGCGGGTGGATCACGAGATCAAGAGATCGAGATCATCCTGGTCAACATGGTGAAACCCCGTCTCTACTAAAAGTGCAAAATATTAGCTGGGCATGGTGGCGCGTGCCTGTAATCCCAGCTACTCAGGAGGCTGAGGCAGGAGCATTGCCTGAACCCAGGAGGCGGAGGTTGCGGTGAGCCGAGATCACGTCATTGCACTCCAGCCTGGGTAACAAGAGCAAAACTCCATCTCAAAATAAATAAATAAATAAATTAATTAATTAAAAAAATAAGAGAGAGAGAGAGAGAGACCTCAACAACTATCCTTTTCGTCTGTATAGAAACCCCTTTTAAACTGTAAAAACAGCAAACAGAATTATTCTTACTTGATTTTTTTCAAGCGCCACCTCAAATCTTGTATGGAATGGTTTGGGAATTCATCCATAAATACATTGAAACTTGAATACACAATCAATACCTAGAATATTCTGTTTAGGTCTAGTTTTCGACAGTTGAGTTGCAGCCTCTATATGTGCGTGTCCTGTATGCATATTATAATATAGGGAAGTATTTACATATCAATCTGTACCGGTATGATCGTTTTATAGAATTAGCTCAGTAGCTCACCTGCAAAGTTTCCAGAGGAAGAATTTGATTGGCTCACCTTGCGTCAGCTGTTCACTCCTTGCCCAGTCAGCTGTGACCAGGGACCAGGGAAGGCCGGGTGTCTGCAGACCTAGCGGACTTCTCACTTTTTTTATTTTTATTTTTAATAAGAGACGGGGTTTCACCGTGTTGGCCAGGATAGTCTCCATCTCTTGACCACGTGATCCCCCCCCCCCCCCCACGCTTCAGCCTCCCAAAGTGCTGGGATTACAGGCGTGAGCCACCGCACCCGGCCTCACTTCTTCTACTAATTCCTGTACATGCCTAGCACCTAGTAGCCCCCTAAGCTCCTCTTTACCATCACGTGTGCGCCCGGGCTCCTAGTTGAAGGACACGCCCCACACATTCAATGTGGAGGCCTGGAGCTGCCACAGCACAGGCCCTGTCACTGCGGACCCTGGGTGAGGGCCTCCTCCTTTGCCTCCCTTTCCCTGCCCTGCGGACAGGACAAGGCGCACCTACAGCCCAGCAAGCACTGTTTTCACAACAGCGCTTCTCAGCGCTTCCCCTTGACCTTGGAGTTCAGCCCCCCGGGCGTTTCCTTGCAGGCCCATCTCCCCTCATCACAACCTTCTCCACAAACCCACTTGGATATGAGCTAATGCCATTATCTTCCTGAAATTAAAATCAAGCCTCAACCTATAATGTTTCACAGAGAGGGAATTGGGGTTATATATTCCTGCGTTGAGCGGTATTCTATTTCAGTCATAGCATTTAATTATGATTGGTATGTTAGTGCCCATCGGAGCATAACAAATTGTCATTATGTTATTCTGCTGAGTCTAATTTAATTGGCAAGTTGTCACAAAAGCAATTATCCATCATTTATTTTGTTGCCATAACCACATCTCGAAGAGCACCTGCTGTCTGCGAGGAGAAATGCGCCACAGTCTCTCAGCCCTGGATCCAGGCCACTTATCTGACACAAAGACATTGCTTCCCCCTTCTGATTTAAAAATATGTTCCTCATTTCCTGCTGCGGTCTCATGAATCCTCCTGGGGGAGCCTCAAAGTGCCAAAGGAAATTCATGGTCTGGGAAGTTGCCCGAGAGGTCTGCCTTGCCCCGTCAGGGGAGGGTGGGAGGCAGCAGGAGGACGAAGACCCCCGTGGAGGGCCCGGGACCCGACTGGGTCAGGCTTCGCTCCGTCAGCTGTTTCAGCTGCCACCTCAGTGATGGATTTATAAATATTTGCTGCTCTTTTCTCCCCGAGCACGCCGCGTGCTTGCTCCTTGGGAGGCGGGATTGTTTGGCCATTTCACAGAGACAGAACCCGAGGCTCCGGGTCACAAGATAAGTCTGGGTAGCAGCCAGGACCCCAGTAAAGACCTCCAGAGTCCAAAGGCTTTTTTCATTCTTAGGATCAAACATGTGCAGGCCTGCCAGAACCCCAGACTGTGGCTCTGGGTGCAGGGGCAGCTTTCTCTGTGGTCCTAGGACTAGACCTCACTGGCCCATTTCACATGGAAGCATCCGGCTGGGAGCTCATTATAGCATCCGGTGCAATGACTGCCCAATCTCCCTGAAGCCTCTGAGCCTAAATCTCTGGGAGGCCCTTTTATCCCCACTCCTACTCGGGTGCCTCTCATGCCTGGACCGTATCCCCAACACCCACATGCAAGTCAAGGCAAGCAACATTGTCTTATGAATTTTTTTCTTTGCTGAAACGGGGAAGATAGTCTTAAGGGAAGAGAAAGCTTGCAGGTCTGTCTCTGTCCTGGGGGCTGGAAGCAGGTGCAAAAATTACTGATGTTCTTGCTTCCCTGATGGTCTTTTTAGCATAGTCACCAAAGAACTCATTAAAAAGAAAAGCAAAACAACAAACAAAAACACCACCAATAAAACAAACCAAAAACCCACCACTGTATTGCAAAGGGGAAAAAGCAACCAGACTTCTAAATAAACCAGCTTTTTCCTTTGGGTCAGTCGGGTACAATTTCCAGACTATCTCTTGGAGGACAGTGGAAAATGAGCAGCTCCCTGAACAGGCAGATCATTTCTTGCAACTCTTAAAAAAAAAATGACTCTCATTGCAGTTGTTGATAAAAACTAGGGATGTGTCAGACTCCTCCCTCTGTACCAGCATTATCCCTAAGGAATGTTCCTCGCGGCTACAGAGAAGTCACTTTTTCTACCACAACACAATGCTGTGGATCTCTGCTTACTGTGGAGGGCCCCACTTGAGCCTGAAGTTAGGCAGTCAATATTGGAGCAGGAAAAAGTTGAATGTGCAAGGAAGGGCCTGCGCATGAGTCCCCTGCTGGGCCCAATTGTGGAAGAGGGTGGTGCTCTCCCACATCATGAGTGTGTAAATTGGTGCAAACTCTGTGGAAAGTAAGCTGGCTAAATGGGTGAAGAGCCATATAAAATGTGTGTCATTTTTGAGTCATGAATTCCATTTAGGATAAACAAATTGCTTCAAAAACAGAAGAAAGAGGCTTGCTTGCTCTAGTGCTATTTATTTATTTATTATTTATTGATCCCCGCCCCCCGCAAGATGGAGGCTTGCTCTGTCACTCAGGCTGGAGTGCACTGGTATGATCTCGGCTCACTGCAACTTCCACCTTCCGGGTTTAAGCAATTCTCTTGCCTCAGCCTCCCGAGTAGCTGGGATTACAGGTGCACAGCACCACACCTGGCTAATTTTTTGTATTTTTAGTAGAGACAGGATTTCACCATGTTGGCAAGGCTGGTCTTGAACTCCTGACTTCATGATCCACTTGCCCAGCCTATTTATTTATTTTTGAAATTGAGTCTCATTGTGTTGCTCAGGCTGCAGTGCAGCGGCATGATCTCAACTCACTGCAACCTCCACCTCCCAGGTTCAAGTGATTCCCCTGCCTCAGCCTCCTGAGTAGCTGGGATTACAGGGACCCACCACTGCACCCAGCTCATTTTTGTACTTTTATTAGAGACGGGGTTTCACCATGTTGGCCAGTTTGGTCTCAAACACCTGACCTCAAGTGATCAGCCACCTCAGCCTCCCAAAGTGCTGGGATTACAGGCATGAGCCACCTTGCCTGGCTGGCTCTAGTGTTATTTATAATAGCAAAATCAAAGTCTGTGCTAAACAGCATATTGACTTAGAGCACATGGCTACAAGCAATGGGTGTAGATGGAACTCAGTTTTCGTTTTCTGGGAGGGATGTTGAAACACGAGGAATTCTTTTTTAAAAAATAATTTCTGGCTAGGTGCAGTGACTTACACCTGTAATCCCAGCACTTTGGGAGGCCGAGGTGGGCGCATCATGAGATCAGGAGATCAAGACCATCCTGGCCAACATGGTGAAACCCTGTCTCTACTAAAAATACAAAAATTAGCTGGGCGTGGTGGTGTGCGCCTGTAGTCTCAGCTACTTGGAGGCTGAAGCAGGAGAATTGCTTGAACCCCGGAGGTGGAGGCTGCAGTGAGCCGAAATCACACCACTCTACTCCAGCCTGGGTGACAGGGTAAGGCTCTGTCTCAAAAAAAAAAAAAAATAACATTTCAACTTTTGTTTTCTATTAAGGGGATACATGTGCAGGTTTGTTACCTGGGTGTATTGTGTGATGTGGAGATTTGAGTATGATTGACCCTGTCACTCTGGTAGTTAGTTTTTCAACCCTTGCCTCCCTCCGTCCCTCTCTCCCACTCTGGTAATCCCCAGTATTTATTGTTACCATCTTTATGTCTACGAATACCCAAGGGTTAGCTCCCACTTATAAGTGAGGACACATGTATTTGGCTTTCTGTTCTTGCATGAATTTGTTTAGGATAATGGCCTCCAGCTGCATCCATGCTGCTGCAAAGAACATGATTTCATTCATTTTTAGGTATTCATAGTATTTCTGGGTGTATATGTACAACATTTTCTTTGTCCAATCCAGCATTGATGGACGCCTAGGTTGATTCCATGTCTTTGCTACTGTGAATAATACTGTGATGAAAATAATTTATTTTTGAGGCAGATCTCTCCTCTCTGTCACTCAGGCTGGAGTGCAGTGGCATAATCATGGCTCACTGCAGCCCTCAATCTCCTGGGCTCGAGAGATCCTCCTGTCTCAGCCTTCCAAGTAGCTGGAACTACAGGTGTGTGCCACCATGCCTGACTGAATTTTTAAATTTCTAATAGAGATAAAGTCTTGCTATACTGCCCAAGCTTGTCTTGAACTCCTGGGCTCAAGCAATCCTCCTGCCTCAGCCTCTTAAAGTGCTGGGATTATAGGCATGAGCCACCACACCTGACCGGAAGGAATTCTTTCTGTAATTTCATTAAGTAAGCATTTGTTGAACACCTCAATTTTTTTGAGCCAGGTTATACATGTATGTAAATACAGATGAGACATACGCACATATAGGTTCATCCTATATTAGTTTCCTGTTGCTGTTTTAACAAATTACCTTCCATTTAGTGCCTTAAACCAGTGGTCCCCTACCTTTCTGCCACCACGGACTGGTTTTGTGGAAGACAGTTTTTCCATGGATGGGGGTGGGTGGGGAGAGATGGTCTGTGGGATTCTCATAGGGTGTGTGCAATCTAAATCCCTGAAATGCACAATTCACAAGAGTTCGACTCTAATGGCATGGCTGAACTGACAGGAGGCGGAGCTGTGGCAGTAATGGTTGCTCACCTGCCGCTCACCTCTTGCTATGTGGCCCGGTTCCTAACAGGCTATGGACTGGTACTGGTCCACTGCCTGGGGGTGGGGCCTCCCTAGCTTAAACAATACCAGTTGTCTTACGGTTTTCTGGGTTGGAAGTCTGAAATCGGTCTCCTGGGCTAAAATCAAGATGTTGGCAGGGACATGTTCATTTCTGGAGGCTATGGCGAGAATCTGTCTCCTTGCCTTTTCCTGCCTCTAGAGCTCCCCACATTCCTTGACTTCTTGCCATTCTCTCTCTCTCTCTCTTTTTTTTTTTTTTGAGATGGAGTCTCACTATGTTTCCCAGCCTGGAGTGAAGTGGCAAGCTCTTGGCTCACTGCAACCTCTATCTCCCAGATTCAAGCTATTCTCTTGCCTTAGCCTCCTGTGTAGCTGGGATTATAAGCATACGCCACCACACCCAGCTAATTTTTGTATTTTTAGTAGAGATGGGGTTTCACCATGTTGTCCAGGCTGATCTCGAACTCCTGACCTCAGGTGATCTGCTGCCTTGGCCTCCCAAAGTGCTGGAATTACAGGTGTGAGCCACTGCACCCAGCCTTCCTCCATTCTCAATGCCAGCAGTGTTGAGCCAAATCCTTCTGACTGTGTCACCCTGACCTTCTGTAGTCACATTTCCCTCTGGCTCTCTGCTTCTGCTCCACTTTGAAGGATCCATGTGATTATGCTGGGCTCACTCCAGTAATCCAGATCATCTCCCTGTTTTAAAGTCAGTTGGTTAGTGACCTTAATACCAGCTGCTACCTTAATTCCTTTTTGCCATGTAATGAAACGTATTCACAGGTTCCAGGGATTAGGTTGTAGATATCTTTGTTTGTGGGGGTGGGTGGGAGGAGAGTAGCAGTATTCTGCCAATCACACTCCAGACTGACCAGAAGCCCACAATTGAGTGAGAGAAACATGTGAACACATCTTCAGCGTACATGGCAGAGCGCCATAATCAGCTCTCAGAATCTGAGAGGCAATATACATATTTATCCATAATTCAGAAATTTCTTGCTGGGAGGCTAGATGCTGACCAACTCAGTTTTCCTCCTCTTCCCAGCACGAACTCTCTGCTGTGGTCACTTCAGTCCCTCCACTGTTTCTAGTACTTAAATATTATAGAATATTATGGAAGTATTGAAGACTCCTGGCTCCTGGGGAGGCTGAGGCAGGAGGATCACCTAAGCCCAGGAGTTTGAGGTTCCAGTGAACCATGATTGCACCATCGCACTCCAGCCTGGGTGATGGAGCCAGACCCTGTCATTAAAAATAACACCCATACTTTTGCCCATTGCCCTCTTACTAGCTGCCCTCACTTCCTCTTCCCCTCTGTCCAAATCCCACCCTTCCTTAAATGCCACATCCAGACTTTTCCCACATCAACAACCAAATCAAGTCCCACGTTCTCCATGATTCTTCCCTGTGGTCCCCCAACCCCATCCAGCCCAGGCCTTCTGGAACACGTGCATTCAAGGATCCCCCAGTAGAGTATCAGGGACCCCCTTGGAATGGGACCTTTCCAAGTCAGAGTACTTTAGGTCATGCTTTAGTGATAAATACGCTTGAGAATATTAACTGCATAGTTATTCAAAAAGATGTCCATCTCTCCTCCAAGGGATGACTCGAAGATCTTGGCTCCTTTTGACTTCCCTGGCTTGGCCATCATAGTCTTTTGCTTTTGGTCACAGTGACAGGGGTATGCAAGATATTTCAGGGGTCCAGCTGAGAAGCGTGGGGTCATCGGTTCTGTCTGCATGCCAGAACTCAGTCACATGACCAACATCACTGCAAGGAAGACTAGAAGCTCTAAGGATGCCCACGGGGGTGTATGAACACTAATGATCTCTGCCAGAACACTTAGCTGTGGGCCTCAGGCAAATCACCTGTTTTCTCTAATCCTTCATTCCTCATCCCTAGAATGGGGACACTATGCCCTCGCTTGTAGAATTCTTGTGAGGACTAAATACATAGGAAGGTATCTACCAGCACAGTGCCAGGCACAGAGCAGAGGTTAAAGGAATGTCCTCTTGTTTTGATCTCATCCATCCTTTCTACTAATTGTTTCTGAGAGGCTGTAGGAAAAGAGGGGGCAGGACAGCCTACATATGGTTTTCATTGGATAAATCAGGATGTGAGAAGAATTCTGTTTGTATTCTTTGCTGATCTTAAGGCAAATGAGTAATAGCTAGCCGTTTGGAAAAAGGAGGTCTTCCTGGCCCACCTCAAGCCCTTCCTGACTGTTTTGGTGGTTTTGTCTGCAAGGTCTGTAAGAAAAGAGAAAGGATCCTGCCCATGAGCGCTAGGGCACTGAAATCTAAAGCTATCGCAGTTTGCTGGGTTGTTCTTGTGAGCTGCACAGAGAGAAGGGCAGATCTCAAGCCCTCCAAATTATTAACACAGGTGCCGAGAGCTGACTCAACTATACTTTGCTTACAGGATAAGCTGAAGGTGGGTGGAGGCTGTGTTTACAGATGGGCTCTCTCTCTGACTCAAATCTCAAAGGTTTTGACACCAAGGGCACAGCTTTGGGAAATGCTCTATTTAGAAAAGCCTTGCCTAAGTCCTGGGCTGCGTTCTCATCGTCGAGAATATATTAGAAAAGTCAATCATGTTGGAAATCTGGCCTTCATCTCTTTGTGCCCAAACTCCCATTTAAGCCAGCTGATATGACATATATGTTTTTTTTTTTTTAAAAAAATAGTAAGCAATAAGATATTGTACACTTAAAACTTTGCTCAGAGGGTAGATCTCATGTTAAGTGTTCTTACCATAATAAAATCACTGGACAGAAGAAAAGACAAAGAGTATTTTAGATGCCAAATGCTGTCCAGCTTGGTTTTCCCAGCCTCCCAGAGCAAACTCTCCTCTGGTTACTTCAGCCTCCTCTCTGTTCTATAGTGATCGCCTCCCTTTTCCCAGTTCCACATCTTTGTCTGTTAAGTTAGAAAAAATGGTGAAAGTTAACATTCACAAGTGAAGCTGAGAGGGAAGAGACAAAAATAATCAAGTCTCTCTGAGTCAAAAGACTAATGATAATACATTGATAATACATATGACAGACTAGAAACAATATTTCTAATATGTAACCTGATAAGAAAAAACAAAGCTTTAAAAAAAAATGGACAAAGGAACAAACCTTTTTTTTTTTTTTTTTTTTTGAGACAGAGTCTTGCACTGTCACCCAGGCTGGAGTGCAATGGCATGATCTCAGCTCACTGCAACCTCTGCCTCCCAGATTCAAGCAATTCTTGTGCCTCAACCTCCCAGCCAGCTGGGATTATAGGCACATACCACCAAGCCCGGCTTGGTGGGGAAGAGATGGGGTTTCACCATAATGCCCAGGCTGGTCTTGAACTCCTGACCTCAGGTGATCCACCTACCTTGGTCCCCCAAAGTGCTGGGATTACAGGCGTCAGCCATCATGCCCAGACTATGGACAAGCATTTTACAGATGAGAGAATACAAATGGCTTATAAGTATATGAAAAGACAGTGAACTCTACTTGTAGTCAGGAAAATGCAAGATAAAACAACAATACCATTTTCACTCATCAGATTGGCAAAAATTAAAGATTGATAGCATCCAATGTTGTCAAGGGTGTGAGTAAACAGGGACTCTCATACATTGTTAATGGATCTATGAATTCCTAAACCCTTTTGAGAAAGCAATCTCAAGGTGACTATTAGAATTAAAAATGAACACATCCTAGCTGTTGGCATACATCTGAGGTCCTAGCTACTTGGGAGGCTGGAAGTGGGAAGATTGCTTCAGGTCAGGAGTTTGAGACTAGGCTGGGCAACATAGAGAGATCTTGTCTCTACAAAATTTTTTTTTAATTAGACATGGTGGTGTGTACCTGTAGATCTAGCTACTTGGGAGTCTGAGGTGGGGGATCACTTGAGTCCAGGAGTTTGAGGTTACAGTAAGCTCTGAACCAGCCACTGCACTCCAGCCTGGGCAATGGAGTGAGACTCTATCTAAAAAACAAAAATCATTTGGCACAGCAATCCCAATTTGAGAATGTATTTTAAGGAGATATACACCTATAATATTTATTGCAAGGTTGTTTCTAGTAGCAAAAGCTAGATAGAATCTGAATTGTTCATCAATAGGGAAATGTTGGGTAAATTACAGTACTTAAATACTATGGGATGTTATGGAAATATTGAAGAGTGCATTAAACCCATACATGTTGACCTGGAGGAATCCACATAGTACCATGGTATAACAGTAAGCAGCAAAAGCAAAAAGCAAGCAGCAAGGACAAAGTCATGGTGTGAGAGCGGGGAGGGAGAGGCATATGGGGAATGGCTGTGTACTATTAAATGATCTCAAAGAAAGATATAGAAGGCTACATACTCTCTAGGATGTTAACGGTGATTACCTGAAGGGAGAGGTATCAGAGCTAAGGAAGGGAAGACATTAACTTTAAAAGTCTGTATTTGGGCCTGGTGCAGTAGCTCAGTACTTGGGGAGGGTAAAGCGGAAGGAGTTTGAACCCAGGAGTACAAGGCTACAGTGAGCCATGATTGCACCTCCGCACTCCAGCGTGGGGGACAGCATGATATTCTATTGCTAAAAAATTTAATTTGTAATGACAGATATTCCCAACGTGGGAAAAAAGTACTGAAGAAAGCGTTGAGTGAGGTCTCCATGGTAAGGGGTGGGCAAGTTCCTGAGTTCAGGCCTATTTGCCCCTCCCTGGCTTCTCTCCTATTCAAATGAGCTAATTTAACAAAAGTGAGATAGTTTGCATTTCCTTGGTTACGTGGGTTTAGATCCTGGGATACAAACAGCCTCATTTACATGTGTAGCTTGACCATCTCTTGATATCCGTGAGCTCCAATAATGAATTAAAGCCAGTCAGTCCCAACTGCCTCCCTGAGGTTGACTTTCTTTTGGTACAGGCCTCTGTCTGAACAGGGCGAGTGTATTGTTAATGCCTCTACCCGTGAATAGCAGTCTGGGCCCAGAGTCAGCTGTGGTGCATCTGAAGATGGTCCAGCTCTTTCTCCCCACCCCATCATAAACTTGTTAAACACCTGCCCACTGACTGAGGTGGATGCCATTTGTCTCTCTGCTCCCTGCTTCTCAGCCACACTGGGGAAAACCCTTTCTTCTGAGCCTGAGCTACCCTGGAGGTCACGGTGGCACAGTCACCATGGCAACTCCCTTCAGGGTATGATGGAGGGAGCTGAGGAAAAGAGTCAGAAACTTACCAGGAGGCCCCAGGAGAAAGCCACTTTCACAGAGGAAAATTTCAAAGTCTCAAAGATTGGGCTGAAATACGGAGCCCTGCCTTGTATGGGATATGTTATTTCTGGAAAGTTGCCCTATGTCATTCTGTGGAGGTAAAGTTTTTTAACGTTACTTTAAACATACACTAGAGTTCCCTATATTGGGAGCCTTGTTGTGACATTCTTTTGCAAAGTGAATAAAAACCCTAATTATTCTTTGAATGCAAGCATAGATATTCAGATGTCAAGTGGTTTTACAGTTCAGCACACCAGTGCTTTTGGATTTGGAAGATGTTGGGTAGTAAGAGTGCGAGTGGAGCCTGAGAAGGAATCTACTTTGAGTGATGGCTTGGGTGTTATCTGGATGCTGTCTTAAGGTTAGTTGCTACCAGTAGAAAAGCCTGGGCTGAGGAGTCTGGTGAAAGTGATTTATAAAGGAACTCCTCCCAGGAGAAATCTAGAGGATGAAAGAAACAGGATAGGAAACAGAAAGAAGCCAGGCAAAGGTCAGATTTCAGGTCCTGACTCAGCCTGATCCCATGGGGAGCTCTGAGGTATAAAGTACTCCCCAGCATTTACCATCTTGAATCAAAGGAGCTGGGCTTCATACTCTCAAATTAATCAGTGATTGCTTATAGTTTTCCCAGGATAAAGTAAAATTTTCAGAGGGAAACAGCTTTGGTGTTCCCAGTCAGTTTTCTGAAAGTCATCAGTGCAAGCTGATAGCGACAAAAAACACAGAGGTGGAGAGTGGGCATGTGGAGGTGGTGATCGGGATTTCAGAGGGTCTAGGAGGCCTTCAGCAGAGTCTACTATAGATGCCAAGAATAGTACATAAACGGCTTTCCAAGAGCACTACCTTAACAACAACAACAAAAAATCAGTGAAATTAATTAGCTTCCCACAACACAGTATTTAGAACCATGTTTTAGAAGAAAGCTAATAGTATACGTAGGCAGATACAGAATTGGTTGAGCATTTCTGAAGAATAGGGAAGGAATGGCTGTTGGCTGGGTAGATAGCTCCGGAAGTAGAACACAGGACTCCACCTGGGGCTTGTGTTGTGAAATATTTATATCTACATCTTGGAGAGGATAGAGAGCTTCTGCCAAGTAAATCTGTGGATTCTCCTAAACTGAGAGAAAAGCTAATGGAACAAATGACAAAAGAGTCGAAAGGAAGATTCCAATGAATGAATAACGGCAAGATTAACATTAAAGAGATAAATGTAAGTCTAATGTGAACCTAATTTCATTATGATCATCCACATAATGGAATATTATATAGCCACAGTATTAGTCCATTCTCACATTGCTGTAAAGAAATACCTGAGACTGGGTAATTTTTTTTTTTTTTTGAGACTGAGTTTCACTGTTGTTACCCAGACTGGAGTGCAATGGCACGATCTCGGCTCACCGCAACCTCCGCCTTCTGGGTTCAGGCAATTCTCCTGCCTCAGCCTCCTGAGTAGCTGGGACTACAGGTGCGCACCACCATGCCCAGCTAATTTTTGTATTTTTAGTAGAGACAGGGTTTCACCTTGTTGACCAGGATGGTCTTGATCTCTTGACCTTGTGCTCCACCCACCTCAGCCTCCCAAACTGCTGGCATTATAGGCGTGAGCTACCGCGCCCGGCCAAGACTGGGTAATTTATAGAGAAAAGAGGTTTAATTGGCTCACAGTTCTGTGGGTTGTACAGAAAGCATGGCAGCATCTGCTCAGCTTCCGGGAGGCATCAGGAAACTTAAAATCATGGCAGAAGGTGAAGGGGGAGTTGGCATTTCACATTGCTGGAGCAGGAGGAAAAGAGAGAGTGGGGAGGTACTACGCACTTGTAAACAACCAGATTTCATGAGAAATCACTATCCCATTCAGTCTTTCTAGGTCTCAGGGTCTGTGATAGGTGGCGCTGCCAGGAAGGTCTCTAAAATACCTTCTAGTCCTTTTCCCCATTGTCTTAGCTGCTCACACTTAGTTCCTTCTTTTTACTTATGCGAATTTCTGCAGCCTGCTTGAATTCCTTCCTTGAAAATGGGATTTTCTTTTCTACCACATGGCCAGGCTGCAGATTTTCAAAATTATTATGCTCTGCTTTTCTTTTAAATATAAGTTCCAGTTTTAGGTTATTTCTTTGCTCATGCATCTGAGCATTGGCTGTTAGAAGTAGCCAGGCAACATATTCCATATCCTGACTGCTTTGCTCTTAGAAATTTCTTCTGCTAGATACTGTAAATCATCACTCTCAAGTTCAAAGTCCACAGATTCCTAGAGCAAGGACACAATGTAGCTTGGCTCTTTGCTAGAGCATAACAAAAGTGACCTCTACTCCAGTTCCCAATAAGTTCCTCATTTCTGTATGAGACCTCCTCAGACTGGACTTCCATATCACTATCAGCATTTTGGTCAAAGCCACTCAACGAATCTCTAGGAAGTTCCAAACTTTCCCTTATCTTCCTTCTTTTCTGCCCCCTACATTCTTCAAACCTCTGCCTGTTACCCAGTTCCAAAGCTGCTTCCGCAGTTTCAGATATTTTTATAGCAATGCCCCACTCCTCAGTACCAATTTTCTATATTAGTCCATTCTTGCACTGCTGTAAAGAAATTTCTGAGACTAGGTAATTTATAGAGGAAAGAGATTTAATTGGCTCATTGTCCTTCAGGCTGTACAGAAAACATAGTGGCTTCTGCTTCTGAAGAGGCCTCAGGAAGCTTCTAATCATGGCAGAAGATAAAGGAGGAGAGAGGCACTCCACTTGGCCAGAGCAGTAGGAAGAGATGTAGAGGGAGGGGGAGAAGAGAGAGAGAGAGAGAGAGGGAGGAGAGAGAGGGAAGAGAGAGAGGATGCTACACCCTTTTAAACAAGCAGATCTCATCAGAACTCATTATTGTGATGACAGCACCAAGGGGGATGGTGCTAAACCATTCATGAGAAACTGCACCCATGATCCAATCAGCTCCCACCAGGCCCCACCTCCAGCACTGGGGATTACATTTCAATATGAGATTTGGGCTGGGACACAGATCCAAATCATATCAGCCACTAAAGATAATTTTGAAGAATAATAATTACATGGAAAAACGTTCATAATTATTTGGTTATAAAAGGTCATCACAATATGCATAGGAAACATTTTCAAAGACATATTCTAAAATGGTGGGATTCTACAGGTGGAATATAATGGATTTTCACTCTGATTTTGCTCAATTCTATTTATATATATTTAAAAATGATAAATTGGGAAAAAAACAAAGTAGCAGTTGTTTTGGGGTTTTTTTGTTTTGTTGTATGGGGAAAATATAACTGAAAAGACAGGATTCTAAATCTGAATGCATTTATTAACAGAGCTTTAAAATACATGAAGCAAAAATTAAAGGGCAATGATTAATTTAATAATTAATAGAAAAAATAGATAGAAAATCAGTAAGGCTATAGAAAACTTCAACACCATCAACACCAAACCAACCTAGCTGATATTGTAGAACCTCTTCTGCCTCTGCCACCCTGGGACAGCACGACCAACACCTCCTCTTACTCCTCCTCCTCAGCCTACTCAACGTGAAGATGGAAAGGATGACAACCTTTAGGATGATCCGCTTCCACTTAATGAAGAGCAAATCTATTTTCTTTTCTTCATTTTGTTTTTAACATTTTCTTTTCTCTAGCTTACTTCACTGAAGATGACAGTAACACACAAAATATGTCTTAATCGATTGTTCATGTTAATGGCAAGGCTTGAAGCCAAGAGAAGGCCATTAGCAGTTAAGTTCTGACTAAGGGAGTCAAAAGTTATACACAGAGTTTAAAAAAAATTATTATTATTTTTTTAGATGAAGTTTTGCTTTCGTTGCTCAGGTTGGAGTCTGGTGTGCAGTGGCGCGATCTCGGCTCACTGCAACCTCCGCCTTTCAGGTTCAAGCGATTCTCCTGCTTCAGCCTCCCGAATAGCTGGGATTACAGGTATGCGCCACCACATACAGCTGATTTTGTATTTTTAGTAGAGATGGGATTTCTCCATGTTGGTCAGGATGGTCTCAAACTCCAAACTCAGGCGATCTGCCCACCTCAGCCTCCCAAAGTGCTGGGATTATAGGCGTGAGCCACCACACTTGGCCAATGAGACTTTTAATAACTATTTTTGTCTACATTTCTTTATTTTCCATGTATTTTTAGGAGAAATAGGGTTTTACCATGTTGGCCAGGATGGTCTCGATCTCTTGACCTCATGATCCACCCGCCTTGGCCTCCCAAAGTGCTGCGATTATAGGTGTGAGCCACCTTACACCTGTACAGGCTTAGATTTTTTAACTATGTGTGTGTATAGTGCTCCTAAATCCTACATTATTCAAGAGTCAATTGTATAGAAAAACATTCCTCATGAACATAGATGTAGAAATTCTTAACAAAATATTATGAAATCAAATCCAGAGGTATATAAAAAAGATAATGCATCATGACCTAGTGGACTTTATATCAGGAATTCATGATTGGTTTAATATTTGAAAAATCAGTGAGGCTGGGTGTGGTGGCTCAAACCTGCAATCCTGGCACTTTGGGAGGCAGAGGCGGGCAGATCACCTGAGGTCAGGAGTTTGAGGCCAGCATGGCCAACATGGCAAAACCCTGTCTCTGCTACAAAAAGCACACAAACGTATTAGCTGGGCATGGTGGTAGGCACCTGTAATCCCAGCTACTTGGGAGGCTGAGGCAGGGAGAATCACTTGAACCGAGTGGTGGAGGTTGCAGTGAACTGAGATCTTGCCACTGCATTCCAGCCTTGGGACAGAATGAGACTTTGTCTCAAAACAAAAAACAAAAAAACAAACAAAAACCCAATTGATATAATTTGTTTTTTAAAAGAGTAAAGGAGAAAAACCTATAGGGTCATCATAATAGATGCAAAAATGTATTTGACATTTGCTTATTTATAATAAGAAAACTTCATCAATCTGACAAAAAATACCAAAGAAAACCCTACAGCTAACATCATACCTAATGATGAAATATTAAATACTTTTCCTGTAAGACTGAGAAAAGGTAAAGATGAATGCTCTTATATCTATTCAACATTGTACTGTAGGTTTTAGCAGCTGCAATAAAGCAAAACAAACAGACCAAAAAAACCCCACAAGCATGCAGATGGAAAGAGAGAAGTAAAATCATCTTTGTTCACAAATGACACGACTTCTCTCTCTTTTTTTTTTTTGAGAAGGAGTTTCGCTCTTGTTACCCAGGCTGGAGTACAATGGCATGATCTCGGCTCACTGCAACCTCCACTTCCTGGTTTCAAGTGATTCTCCCGCCTCAGCCTCTCAAGTAGCTGGGATTACAGGCATATGCCACCATGCCTGGCTAATTTTGTATTTTTAGTAGAGACGGCGTTTTTCCACGTTGGTCAGGCTGGTCTCAAACTCCCAACCTCAGGTTATCTGCCCTCCTTGGCCTCCCGAAGTTCTGGGATCACAGGCGTGAGCCACTTCTCCCAGCTGACGAGATTTTTCTATGTAAAAGTTTTAAAGAAAAATGCTAGAACTAATATGTGTGTTGAGCAAGGTTTCAGAATAAAAGGCCTATTATGTACAAAACTAAATTGAATTTCTATATATTAGCAGCAAACAATTGAAAATTAAAATCTTTAAAAACATCATCTTTAATGACATCAAAAGCATTTAATATAAAAGATGACAAAAGATGTATAAGACACTGAAAAAATTTTTAAAAAATTGTTGAGAGAGCTCAAAGAACACTTAAATAAATGGAAGACACATGACGGTTGCTGTGGACTAACTTGTGTGCCCCCCAAATTTATATGTTGATGCCCCAATCCACAATGTGACTTTATTTGTAGATGGGCCCTCTAAGGAAGTAATTAAGGTTACATGAAGTCATAGGATGGGTCCCTGATTCTATTGAATTAACGTCTTTATAAGAAGAGACACAGAGACTTTTTACTCTCTATCTATTCGTCACACAAACAAGAGGTCATGGGAGCACCCAGTGAGATGGTGGCTACCTACAGGCCAAAAGAAGAGGCCTCCGAATAAAACCTTCCTTGTTGGCACCTTGATCTTGAATTTCCGAACAGTGAGGAAATACAATTCTATTGTTTAAGCCACTCAGCCTTTGGTATATTGTTATGGCAGCCTGAGCAGAGTAATACAGTGTTCATGGATCAGGAAACATAACATTGTCAAGGTGTCAGTTCTGTCCAGATTGATCTATAGATTCAATACGACCCCAATTAAGATCCCAACAGACATTTTTATAGAAATTGTCAAGCTGATTCTAAAATTTGTATGAAAATTCAAGGTACCTACAATAGCCAAAACCACTTTGAAAAAGAATAAAACTGTAAGTCTAATTTACCTGATTTCAAGAAATTATTATACAGCTACGGTAATCAAGACAGTGTGGTACTGGTGTAAAGACAGCTATATAGATCAATGGAACATAGTGGAAAGGCCAGAACTAGACCAGTACATACAGAGCCAATGGATTTTTGATAAAGCTGTCAAAGCACATTAAGAGACATGTATAAGAATGTGCACACTATTCATGTTAGCTCCAAGCTGGAAAGCCACACAATGTCCATCAATAGTAGAATGGATTAATGAATTATAGAACACTATATGAATTATGGAACACTATACCCTAATGAAAATGAATAAACGATAACTGTCTATAAAAATATAAATAAGTCTCATAAACATAATGTCAAATGAAAGAAGCCAGACACAAAAAGGTATGTACTCTATGATTGCTGCTACATATATAAGACAGGAAAACTAACCTATAGTGTTAGAATTCAGCATAATGGGTAGTCTAGAAGGACAGAGGAGGGACTGGAAAGGTCTGTGAAGAGGCATCTGAGGGGCTGGCAATGTTCTGTTTCTTGATATGGATGCTGGTACACATGTGTGTTCGAGTTCTGAAAATTTATCAAGCTGTATACTTAAGATTGGTGCATTTTTCTGTATGTAGCTCATACTTTGATAATTTTTTAACTCCTATTCAGAGAGCTCAACATAACACCCAACCAGCCATTGAAGAATACAGAGTGCAGAATCCTTTCATCTGGATTTTACATTTCTGTTAGCATCAGTGAGATCATATTCAGGATTTTTTGTTTGCTTGTTTGTTTTTGTAATCCTCTTTTTAAAAAACATTTTCTTTTCTTTTTCTTTCTTTTTTTTTTTGAGACAGAGTCTTGCTATGTCACCCAGGCTAGAGTGTAGTGGTGCAATCTCACTATAACCTCTGCCTCCTGGGTTCAAGTGATTCTTGTGCCCCAGCTTCCTGAGTAGCTGGAATTACAGGTGTGTGCCACCATACCAGGCTAATTTTTGTATTTTTAGTAGAGATGGAGATTCACCATGTTGGCCAGGGTGGTCTTGAACTCCTGGCCTCAAGCAATCCACCTGACCTGACCTCCCAAAGTGCTGGGTTTACAGGCATGAGCCACCGGACCCCCACTGTTTTTGTAATCGTAACAGAGTATTGGCTCATTTTATGCTGACATGTCCTACTTAGTGCTTCTCACATTCTTTAAAATAATTTCTTTTTTACCTACTGTTGTCTGTTTCCTTTTAGAAGCTTTTTTTTTAATTTTTCACATTTAGATCTATATTTTGTGTATGCGTATCAGGAGGAGTCAAGGTTCACTTTTTTCTATGTGGACCCAGCACCAGTTTTTGAAAAGACACTTCTTCGCAGCACTGCAGTATCATCTTTGCTATAAATCAGGTGATCAATTGTCTGTTTCTGGAACCTCTCATCTGTTCCATTGGTCAACACCACACCGCTTCAATTGCTTTAACTTTAAAATAGGTCTTAGTAATGATAGTGCAATTCCTCCAGCTTTGTTTTTCTTCAAAATTGGCATGGGCATTCTTGAGCTTTTGCATTTCCACATACATTTTAGAATTAGCTTGTTAATGTTCACCCAGAAAAAAAGTCGCTAACATTTTGATTGGGATTGCATGAGATGTAGAGTTCTACTGGAGGAAAAATGACTGCTTTGCGGTATTGAGCCTTCCAATTCATGAACGTGGTGTCATTCTCTACTTACTTAGGTCATTTAACATTTCTCTTTGTTTTCAGGTAAGAGTCTTGCATTGTTTTGTTGATTTATTTATGGGTGTTTGATTTTTTTATGCTACTGTAAATGGTGTCATTAAAAAGTTTTATTTTCTATTTGCTTGTGCGTATAGAAATGCATTTGACATCTGTACATTGACTTTGTATCCAGAGACCTTGTTAAATTACTCATTAATTCTAATAATTTTTCTTTATATCCTTTTGGGTTTTCTATGTATTCAGTTATGTTGTCTGAGAATACTGACATTATATTGTGTGTATTTTGAAGCTCTGTTTCTAGATGTATAAATGTTTATGATTGCTGTGTTCTTTTAATGAATTGACTGCCATAAAATCACCTTTTTCTCATCCCTGGTTATATTTCCCCTCTGAAATCTGCTTTTGTCTGATATTTTACAGCAACTCCTGCTTTCTTTTGCTTAGTGTTAGGAAGGTATATCTTTTTTCATCTTTTTACTTTTAACCCATTTGTTCTTCATCTTAGTAGTTTGCTAGTTAAGAGTATACTGTTGTGTCTTGTTTTCTTACCCAATGTGATAATCTCTGCTGTTTAATTGGAGGTGTATATTGATGTGGTTAGATTTATCTTTTTCTTTTTTTTGAGATGGAGTTTTGCTCTTACTGCCCAAGCTGGAGTGCAATGGTGCAATCTTGGCTCACTGCCACCTCCGCCTCCCAGATTCAAGCGATTCTACTGCCTCAGCCTCCTGAGTAGCTGGGATTATAGGCATGTGCCACCATCCCCGGCTAATTTTTTTGATAATTTTAGTAGAGACAGTGTTTCACCATGTTGACGAGGCTGATCTTGAACTCCTGACCTCAGGTGATCTACCCACCTCGGCCTCCCAAAGTGCTGGAATTACAGGCATGAGCCATTGCTCCTGGCAGATGTGGCTGGATTTCAATGTACCATTTTACTATTTGCTTTCTATTTCTGCTATCTCTTCTTTGTTCCCTTTTTCCTCTTGTACTGCTTTCTTTTGTATTAAATATTCTTTTTATGATTTTATTTTATCACCTTTATTGACTTATTAGCTAAACTGCTTTGTTTTGTTCTTTTAGTGATTGCTTTAGGCTTCATAATGCACATTATTAACTTATCACGCATATGTTCAAGATGTGTTATAGTGCTTCACATATGGTATGAGGACCTTACAACACTGTACTTTCATTTCACCCCTTCTGGCCTTTGTGCTATTGTTGTCAAACATTTTCCTTCCACATGGATTAGAAACTCCACAATGCCAGGTTACTCTTGCTTTAAACCATCAATTACCTCTTAAGGTGATTTAAGTAATAAGAAAATAAGTCTTTTGTATTTCTCCACACATTTACTATTTCTGGTGTTCATTCCTTTATATAAATCCAGATTTTCCTTTGGTATAATTCTTATTCTGCCTTAAGGACCTCCTTTAATATTTCATTGTGCTGGTGGTTTGCTAGTGATCAATTTTCTAAGATTTTGTGTCTGAAAAGGTCTTTATTTAGTTTTTGTTTCTGAAAGATTTTCAGTGTGTTTAGGATTCTATGATTTGTTTCCCTCCAGTATCTTAAAGATGTCACTTCACTACCTTCTCACGTGTCTATGTTTTTTTAATGGGACACGGCCTTACGCTGTCTTCACCTTGGATTGCATTTGTTGCCGTATCTTCAAGTTTACTAATCTGTTTTTTTCAGTGTCTAACCTGCTGGCAATTCTATCCAGAGTATTTTTCATTTCAGATGAATTTTTTTTATCTTTAGAAGTTTGCCTTGGGTTTTTAAAAAAAATTTCCTTGCCTACCCTTATCATAATCATTTCCTCTACCTTCTTGAACTATGTGAAGTAATAGCAATTTTTAACACACTGCCTACTAATTCTATCATCTGTGTCATTTCAGGATATGTTTCTCATGCTTGATTTTTCTTTTTTCTCTTTATTATGAGTCATATATTCCTTTCTTTTCTTTCTTTTTTTTGAGACAGAGTCTTGCTCTGTCACCCAGGCTGGAGTGCAGTGGCATAATCTTGGCTCACTGCAACCTTTGCCACCCAGGTTCAAGTGAGTCTCCTGCCTCAGCTTCCCGAGTAGCTGGGACTACAGATGTCTGCCACTAAGGCCAAATAATTTTTTTTTTTTTGAGAGGGTGTCTCACTCTGTTGCCTAGGCTGGAGTGCAGTGGTATGATCTTGGCTCACTGCAACCTCTGCCTCCCAGGTTCAAGCTATTCTCCTGACTCAGCCTCCCGAATAGCTGGGATTACAGGCACATGCCACCATGTCCAGCTAATTTTTGTATTTTTAGTAGAGACAGGATTTCACCATATTGGCCAGGATGGTCTCAATTTCTTGACCTTGTGATCCACCCGCCTTGGCCTCCCAAAGTGCTGGGATTACAGGCATGAGTCACTTCACCTGGCCTAATTTTTGTATTTTTAGTAGAGATGGGGTTTCACCATGTTGGCCAAGCTGTTCTCAAACTCCTCACCTCAGGTGATTCCCCCTCCCCGCCTCGGCCTCCCAAAGTGCTGGGATTACAGGTGTGAGCCACCGTGCCCGATTTGAGTAATAAATTCTTGCTTGCTGAAATACTCAGTAACTTTTGAACTCTTCCCTCTACTGTGCCCTAATTGGATTCCCCAACACTGTAACTGTTGGTCCTAATTCTGTGTTTTAGAGTTATGTAAGCTATGGACCCTGTAGCACCTTCCTTCATGATACTTCGCAACATTTTAGATGTCTCATTTACTTGTGGGATCATCAGATAAATGTCTCTGCTTTTCTGACCAGATTCCCTCCATGGCACAGGTTCTAGGTATGCTCTTGGTCATCACTATATCCCAGCGTAGGGCACAGGCCTGGTGCATTTGAAGTCCTTGATAAATACCTGTTGAATGAGAATGAGAAAAATGCTTGGCTTTGGTGACTGGCACCTATTAAGACTGACACTCTGTCATATGACCTGAATTTGCATTTTGTGGTTTTAGAACTCAGCTCTTTGCTGATTGAAAGGGAGTTGAGCTCAGATCTCTGAATCCAGAATGTTCTAAAAAAAAAAGAAAGAAAGAATTATTGTTAAGTTGTTGAAGTTGTACATGGTATAGTGAGAATGTATTGATTGATTGATTGAGAAAGAGTCTCGCTCTGTTGCCCAGGCTGCAGTGCAGTGGCACGATCTTGGCTCACTGCAACCCCCACCTCCCAGATTCAATCAATTATCCTGCCTCAGCCTACCAAGTGGCTGGAATTACAGGCATGTGCCATCATACCTGGTTAACTTTTGTATTTAGTAGAGACGGGATTTCACCACGTTGGCCAGGCTGGTCTCGAATTCCTGATCTCAGGCGATCCACTCGCCTTGGCCTCCCAAAGTGCTGGGATTACAGGCATGAACCACCATGCCTGGCCAAGAATGCTTTTAAAAAGACTTCATCTTTTAGATTTATATATAGTGAACCCTTTATGAATAAAATAATGTAATGTTTGGTATTTACTTCCAAATAATTGGCAGGTGGGTGAGAGTACAGATGAAACAAGATTGGCCATGAGTTAATAATTATTGAACCTGGGACAAGGGTACATGGGGTTTATTATACTCTTAAATTTTCCTTATAAAAGTGAGAAAATTATTTAGCTCTTTGATTAGCTGAACAAAACATGAATGGGCAGGGGTGAAATGGGTGTTCAGGATGGGGAGGGGTGAGGAAGAGAAGGAAGTCAGAGGTTTCAAAGATGCAGGACCCTCCAAGAAGTCACCTGGAGGCTGCCAAACCAGAGCTGTCTCTGGCAAAATGAGGGGCTTCTGATGGTGGTGCTTTTGTTTGTTCCTTTATGCACTTATCTACCAATCTCTTTCCATTTCATAAATGGAATAGTCATAATTAAGAGGTGAGTCTCACAGGCTCTCTCAAGCAGTATGCCAAAAAAAAAAAAAAAATGCCCTTTAGGCAACAATCCTCCAGCTCCTAGCTCACTCACCCTGGAGCTCCTGGGAGACCTGCTGATTCTGCTTTCACAGCGAGTGTCAGCCCTTTGAGACAGAGGCGCAGGTGGTGCTGCTTGGGCTTCTGCCTCATAGTCATCCAATAGCTACTGTATTATTCCCTGACAGTAGCTCTGTGTCTTTAGGATTCAGGATGCTGTGCCCAGGTCACTGTGACTAGTTGTTTCTCTTTTTTGCATGGTTTGCTGGGGGTGGGGCAGGGAGGACTTCTGAGTGGCCCTGGCTCATTCTACGTTCACAGCACACAGGTTCTGGACCCTTTCTGCAGGCTTGAAGGAAATGGTTTCTCATACACAAACTCTTCTTTCCGCTCCATTTCTGGGGTCGTCTCATATCTGTGCCTGCAACGCAAAAGATGGGTATTCCTGAAAGATCTGGCTGGGATCATCCATAAAGAGACCCAGTATTCTAGGTAAATCAGATTATCTGGTGGAAGGCTTTATCCTAACTTTCTTGGGGTGTTCCTGTGTCAACAGCAGTCTAGAGTTGGCCGTATATACCATAATTGCTTCTGCCCCCACTCAAGATCTCTCCTGTTTGGAGACAAAAGCTCAGGGAGAATGGGCATTTTCAGGGAGCAAAGATGTGTTAATATACTTCCAATGGCTGAACCTGAGAGCTTGTCTGGAGGGTCTAGCAGGGGAGCGCAGCTACTCACATGTCCTTGACTGAAAATCGGTCCTCCTCTATCAGGGATGGTCGTCTTCAGCTGAGCACGCAGCTTTGGGAGGGACGCACATGGAGTGGTGAGAGAGGAAGGGGACACCCACTTAGCCAGCCAGATCAGCTGAATCAACCCTCATGCTCAATGGGGTGATGGATATTGCAGCCAGATCGCCCTCATGTCCAGAACTTGCAAGCCAATAGACTTTTCAGTGGAATGAAAGAAATTCTGGAAAAATTACTTCCATGAAATTTGGTGAGGTTAGAAAAAAAACTCTTGATGGATTTTCTAATTTGAAGACCCAAAATTATATTTTCTACTTTAAAAGCAAAATACCTCATTAAAGAACTCTTGAAAAATACAAAAGAAGGGGAAAAAAAGAAAAAAAATCTAACCATAGTTCTACCACCGAAACACAAGTATTCATACATTTTCATCTATTTTATTCTCTTCATTTTCTTTTGAAATGCACAGTCTCCATCCTCCAGCCAATGGTTGAAAGTCTAGCATACACAAATTTTGGTGTAACTGTTGTTTTCTACCCTGTTACAAAATGTCTCTGTGTTTTCATGTTCTCTCCATAAGAGACATGTTGCCAGATGGTTTCTCAAGGAGCTCCTCCTGGTTTTTTTCACCCTTCCCCTATAAATGGGCAGATGGGATGTTTCCATTTTTGCCCCATAGCAGATATCTTTTTCTGTATTTGGAGTGCTTTCCTTAGGATTGAACACAGAAGTGGGAGTTCTGAGTCAAAGATACTGGATATTTTTATGGCTCTTGACTCATTTGGCCGATTTGCTTTTCACAGATTTTGCAAAAACTTACACACCCACAAGAGTTCAGATTTGAGTCTTTAAATTTTGAACGACATTGTTGCACGTACCACACCTTCTATAGTAAATATTTTCCTGCTCAGATACAACCTTTAAAGGTTCTGACACCAGAGACAGTATCCTCTCCTATTCAAAGCCTTTGGCTCTTTCTGGAAGATGCTGGAAAGCAGGCTTGAGGTGCAGGATACGATTAGAGTCTGTCCTTGTTCCCCCATCCTCAGCTTAGGCCACTGGTGTTCATTCCTGCCTTTTCCTCCTGGGAACAGTTCTGTAATCTGAATGTCCTGCAGCAATTCAGAAAGCAATTCTGCCACCTAGACTCTGCCTGGTTTCTACTGGTCTGTGGTCATGTTGGCCACTCCCTGGTTTGGATTCTTTCTACTGCTACTCAAAGTCCTAGTGGAGGTGGAGGGATTAACGCTAAGGGGTTAGGAGCTCAGCCTAGTTCTCTGGTCAAGGAATGCACCATTCCTATCCCCCTAAGATACGCAACAAAATTATTGGCAGGTTTTGCCAACTTAAACTCTACCCAGGAGAAAAAAATCCCTTCATGCACCCCCTGCCTTTTTTTGATACTAAGAGAGAAAGAAAAAGAGAGATTAAAATATTTACAAGTATCCAATCATTCCCCTTCTTTGGGAAGTCAAGTATTAGAGGAAAACAGACAGACAACTGTAAGCATTTAGCAAGTTGAAAAAGAAACGAGCAGGTTTCAGCTGGAGCCAGTCAGGTGGTTGGCAGCACCCACCCAGGGGATGGAGTTTCTGTCCTGATTATTTTGTTTCATTTTGCCCACGGGAGAGGGAGAGTGGCTGTGGATGCAGCAGAAGGGGAGTGCTGGGGGCCGGGGGGCCATCTCCATGTTTAATTCAGCTTACTTTGAGAGTAAGTTAAAGTCTTGTAGCAAAGAGTTCCTTCACAGCAGAAATTTGGGAATCTAAAAAATGCCAGAAAAAAATAAAGCTTGGAAAGATGTTAGACTGTGCGTAGACCTAGAGCAGAGGAGCCTAGAACGCACTGATAGCTCCTTGAGGTGAGTTGGAAGCACAGTGGTTCAGGATAGGTGGTTGGGAAATAAATGATGACCATAGCTAACATCTCTTCAGTGCTTACTATGTCCCAAGTACTATCCAAAACACTTCACATAGATAAACTGTTTATTCCTCACTGCAAACTTACATGGAAATGACTACTACTGCCTCGATTTATGGATGAGGACACTGAGTCACAGAGAGGGTGTGTGATGAGACTGGTAGGTTGAGGCTGGGGTAATTACATGGGCTGGATCCTGAAGGTAAGGAAGAGAAAGGAGAAAGGGATGGCAAACAATCTTTCTGGGATGTGGATGTCTAGCTATCTGTACCCCAAAGCTGGGGGTATCCCTGGACTTGCCCCTGTCCCCCTTCTCCAGTTACTCCTGTAATTTCCTGGATCCAGTCCATTCCCAGCACCATCCCCGCCACCCACAGCTGCTCTCCCAGTGTCTTGCCTGGGCTCTTGCAGTGACTTCCCGACTGGTGAGCCACCTTCAGCCCCCAACCCTAATCCATCTTTTATATTCTTCCCCCAACCAGTAATCTTCATCTAGCCTTCCTTGGCACCTTATAAATGTCTCTATTTAGTATTTGGCACACTAATGGTAATTGTGAATTTGTATCAGTTTATCCAGTCCAAATATTTGTTGAATGAAAGAATGAGGGCCGGGTGTGGTGGCTCACACCTGTAATCCCAGCACTCTGGGAGTATGAGGTGGGGGAATCACAAGGTCAGGAGATTGAGACCATCCTGGCCAACATGGTCAAGCCCCATCTCTACTAAAAACAAACAAAAATTAGCCAGGCATGGTGGTGTGTGCCTGTAATCCCAGTTACTCACGAGGTTGAGGCAGGAGAATCACTTAAATCAGGGAGTTGGAGGTTGCAGTGAGCTGAGATCATGCCACTGCACTCCAGCCTGGTGACAGAGTGAGACCATGTCTAAAAAAAGAAAAAAAAAAAAAGAATGAGATCATATTCAAGGAGGGGAATTAACATTTGAAGCCTGAGGGGTAAACTTTGGACCCATAGATAAAGGACTTTGCATTCCTAGGACCCAAGAGCACCAAGAGGTAAATCATGCTAGTTCACCTGAGACTGAAAAAGGGTGAACCGGCATGAGAGGCTAGGGATGGAACCAAGTGGATCGGGGGGTTGCTGGAAGATGTCAGTGCTTTGCACCGATGCCCATAGAGATGAATAACACAAGACATGATTCTGGTAAGTTAAAAGTACCATGACTATCAGGAGTGGGATCTTCTGCATGGTGGCAGCTCAAGGTACTCCATAATAAACAGAAGTGGCAGACGGTTGAAACCGCTTTTACTTATTTGGAGATGTCTCACTCACCCAAAGGCATCCGCATCTGGGGAAGATGAACACAGGAAAGTGACACTGTGTGTGGCTGGGGAGTTCATAGACTCTGCGAGGGGTGCGATCTGTGGAAAAGAGGATTTCTAAGCCGCTCTCCCTCTGCCAATTTTTGAATATATTCTCGGTCTTTCTTGCAGTGCACACAATCCTACAGTTGATCTGTAGGTGAAATGAGAAGGGAGATTTAGATTTAGAAGCACGGACCCTCTTTTCCCCAAAGATGCTAGAAGGTCAGGTGTGTTTCTGCTTTTATTTAAGAGTGTGATTAGAAACAGCCAGGACCATCCCAGACCCAGCTGGCATTACCCTGAATGTTCATTATTTTGAATGTATCACTAGAACAATGAGTGACAGAAGCGATGACGTGATGTAAAAGAGAGAAAATCTGGGGCGAATTATTTCACAAGTTTGTCTCTGCTCCTGTGATGGGAAAAAACGAAATCTAATTGTCCAATCCAGAAGTGGAAGAGATTGTGTTATCTCACAACCTTTAAAGGTTTTACATAATATTTTTGATACCAAGAAGGCTAAGGCATTATTGCTCATGTTCTAGTTATGGGCCTATCTAGTGGGTCATTGGTGAAAGAGAAAGCAGAGAGTCATGAATGTGTCTCTGAAGTCAGTGCTGCGGCTGCCTGTGGATCTTCTGCCTCCTAACCAGGTAGTAGGAATCCTCCAGGATGGACTAGTTCATTCCTGTAGTCAACACATTTTTTTTTTTTTTTTTTTGAGATAGAGTCTTGCTCTGTCACCCAAGCTGGAGTGCAGAGGTGTGATCTCAGCTCACTGCAATCTCTGCCTCTCAGGTTCAAGCGATTCTCCTGCCTCAGCCTCCTTTGAAGCTGGGATTACAGGCGTGCACCACCACACCTGGCTAATTTTTGTATTTTTAGTAGAGGCAGGGGATTCACCATGTTGCCCAGGTTGGTCTCGAACCCCTGACCTCAGGTGATCCACCCACCATGGCCTCCCAAAGTGCTGGAATTACAGGCATGAGCCACTGTGCTCGACCAGCAATACATATTTATTGAACAGCTACTACGTGCTAGGCACTGTACTAGGAACTGGGGATATAGCAGTGAACAAAACACGAACAAACACAAACAAAAGTTCCTGTTCTCATGGAGCTTACAATCTAGTTGGGGGAGACAAATAATAACTGCTAAACTTGTACTATGTCAAGAGATAATATGTGCTATGAAGAAAAAATACACACAGCAAGGGGAAAGGGCGGGGTTCCTGTTATAGAGAGTGGTTAGGGAAGGCCTTTCTGCTACAATGAGCACAGATTGAATGGAGTGACGGAAGGAGCCCTGTGGTTGTCTGGGGTCAGAGTGTTACAGGAAAAGAGAGTAGTAAGGACAAAGGCTGCAGGCAGAATCATGCTCAGCACACTCCACCAGTGGCAAGGAGGCCAGTGTAGCTGGAGTGACGTGAGCACGGGAGGGGGGCGTAGGAGATAAGGTTGGAGGAGAAGCCAGCGGCAAGACCACATGTAGCCCTGGAGTCTGTACAAGGACCCTGCATCCTCTTCTCTTAGTGAGAAGAGGAAGCTTTGGAGCGTTTAGGCCAAGGAGTGAAATATTCAGCTGTGTCATAAAAGGCTCTTTTCTGCTGCTATGTGGAAATGTCAGCAGAGGAACAGGGTGAAAGCTGGGAGCCCAGCCAGGAGATGGCCGTGGCTGGGACTGGGAGTAGCAATGGAGATTTCAAGAAGTGGGCAGATTCTAGACACATCGTGAAGGTCAAACTGATTGGATTTGCTGATTTGGTGGAAGGTGTGAAAGAGAGGCAAAAGGATGAGCACACTGTTGGACCTGAGCAACCGGAAGTGTGAAGTTACCCCTAATAGGATGGGAAAGATTTCTCAGGAGAAACCAGTGAGAAAAAAAACGATGGGAAAGACTGGGAGGAGAGAGGAATCCAGAGCTCTGTTTCTCTTCTTTTCTTTTTTCTTCTTTTTTTTTTTTTAAGACAGTCTTGCTCTGTCTCCCAGGCTGGCGTGCAGTGGCATGATCTTGGCACACTGTAACCTCTGCCTCCTGGGTTCAAGCAATTCTCCTGCCTCAGTCTCCTGGATAGCTGGGATTATAGGCACATGCCACCATGCGCAGCTATTTTTTTTTTTTGTATTTGTAGTAGAGATGGGGTTGGGGTTTCATCATGTTGGGCAGGCTGATCTTGAACTCCTGACCTCAGGTGATCCACCCACCTCAGCCTCCCAAAGTGCTGGGATTACAGGCATGAGCCACCACGGCCTGCCAAGAGCTCTGTTTGGACATGTTAAGTCAGATGTCTATGGGGCACGCAAGTGCAGATGGCGAAGAGGCTGCAGGGCGTGCAGATGTGGAACTCAGGAGAGGGGCTCAGCTGGACATATGCATGTGGGCAGTGTCGGTGCGCCACAGTTAAGGCCTAAGGCTGAGCGGAAACAGACACAGCAGAGGCTGAACACCGAGCCAGAGTGTCCTGACGTTTGGGGGTTGAGAAGAGGAGCTTCCAGTCCAAGGTGACAAAGAAGGACTGGCCGGAGAGGTTGGAGGAGAATCAGGGGTGAGTGGAAGGAAGAAGTGCTTCAAGGAGGAGGAAGGAGCTGCCCATCAACTAACTCAGTGTCGCCAACGGCTGGAAAGGGCGAGGCCTGAGAATGGGCCTCGGGATGAGCAGCGGGGGTCGTAGTGTTTTTGACAAGGGCAGGGAAGGCGAAGTGGACACAGATAGTTAACTAAGTGGGTTCAAGAGCTAAGTGGGTTAACAGGTCAGGAAGGGAGTCACTGAGCGTGTTTTGAGCAATTTGGCCATCTAGGGAAGGACAGAAATCTGGCGTAGGGGGCTAGCCGGAGGGAGGCAGGGTGGCAAGGGAGTTCTGTTGTTTGCTTGCTTTCTTCTATGGGGGATGTTTCAGCATGTTTGTAGTTAATAGATATCCAGCAAGAGGGAAGATTCGAAAATGCAGGGCTGAGCTGCCCTAAACATAATTTTCCTCCCTTTTCTTTATTGTACAGCTTAGAGCATTGAACAATGTGTCAAGTAATTGTTTGTGGTTGATGTTTCTGTGTATGTCTCTGGCGTTTATTTCCCCTTTAGGCAAAGTTGCTTCTCTCAAATATGCCCATGCAACCAGATCAGATCCATTTAATGATGAAAACCCTTTGAAAAAACAGATCCCCTGACTTTTGTCCATGAGACAAAAGTCAGTTGTCTTATCGCTGAGTTGTAGAGGTGTCAGCTGAATCAATAACAATAAGTTACTATTATTGAAAGATTAGGGTGCGCTTTACCTGAATTATCTCTGTAAAACATCACTGTGGGCCGGGCACAGTGGCTCAGGCCTGTAATCCCCGCACTTTGGTAGGCCGAGGTGGGTGGATCACAAGGTCAACAGATCAAGACCATACTGGCCAACACAGTGAAATCCCATCTCTGTTTAAAATAAAATTTAAAACAAAAAAACATCATTGTGATGCAGGTACTATTGATGATCTCAATTTAACGATGAAGAAATGGAAGCTTCGAGGTTAAACCATATGTCCATACTGGGGCAGGCAGGCAGGCAGTGCGAAGTAGAGCCAAGTTCCCAACCAGGCAGGCCCCGTTGACTTAGCCAAGACGCTCGAGAGAACTGCCTCCCCAAGAGGGGCTGCTGCAGGCCTTGGCCACTGCAGACAGACCAGTACCGAGAGGCTGCATCCTCTTCCCGCCGGCTGGACTACCCGCTGTGGCGGGAAGCAGCTCCCTCCGCCCGCTCCTCGTCCTGGCTGTGCGACACCGTCCGCGCTCGGGCAGCAGGGGGCGCTCTGCTGTCACGAGCAGTGGACCAACGCGCCAAGCCCGGTTCCAGGGCTGCGACGACTCCCTTCCCCGCCACCCAAACCATCAGGTTTCCCATCCCCATTCTGCATCAGTTAGTTGCTGCTGCTGCTAGCAAAGCTCTCTCTACGGAGATTTGTGAGAAACCTCTGCTCGGGTGAAAGGGTCCTGAGGTAGGGGTGGGGTAGAGGTGGAGGGTGCCGGCCCATGGTTTCAGGGTGTTGGTGTTAAAATAGTGGGGACCCGGTGGGTGGCCAGCAGGCTAAGGCCTTCGGCTGTGCCCTCGGTCTGGCTGGGAGGTGTCTCGCTCAGCTCCTGGAATGGGTGGATCCGCTGCGGGGCAGGCACTCACACATCGCTTTGTTTCCTAAATTCCTTCTGAGCCGGCTTCTTTTTAAGATGCCAAGCACCAGAACCGCTGAAATACAAATTCCTAGTTGGGAAAATCAGATTCCTGTATCTGCAGGGATGCAACAAAGAAGGGCAGCAGCTCCTGTGGCTTTGAAGTGCATGTCACATGAAGCAGGGCAAGGAAAGAAGCAGGTGGCGTTAGTCCTTCCCTGCCCTCCTCTGCCCCTTCTCTAAGGACACCACTGGCCATTTGCTGCCTTGGTGGCAGGGGAGGTGCAGCCGGCCCAGGAAGGCTCCAAATCAAAAGGAAGCCATGTGGGCCAGGGGCGGTGACTCACGCCTGTAATCTCAGCACTTTGGGAGGTAAAAGCGGGCAAATCACGAGGTCAGAAGTTCGAGACCAGCCTGGCCAACATGGTGAAAACCCGTCTCTACTAAAAATATAAAAATTAGCCTGGTGTGATGGTGTGCCTGTAATCCCAGCTACTCCGGAGGCTGAGGCAGCAGAATCACTTGAACCCGGGAGGCGGAGGTTGTAGTGAGCCGAGCTCTCACCACTGCACTCCAGCCTGGGTGACAGAGTAAGACTTTGTCTCTGGCCCTGACCAGAGGGCCTCAGGTTGCAGGGGGAGGAGGGGTTGGGGACACATCTGCTCCTGCCAGGAACCTGGGAGTGTGGCACTCCTTAGCCCATGCTGGACCCATAAGCTCAGACCCAGAAGCAGAGATGTGAGGGAGGAGAGGAGCCGATGTTCCCTCTTTCCAAATGATTCCAGAGTTGGCTTGGCTGCATGGCCTCCTGCCCCTGCTGGCAGTCCCCACACTTCCTGATTAAGTCTGGCTTCCCCAGGTGGCTGCTGCCCAGGACTCCCAGATGCAGCTGTGGGTGGCAGGAAGCAACCAATGTCCTGGCATCACCCCAGACACAAACCTCATTCCTGATTTGACCGCACTGCTCCTCCCTCCACCCACTGATATGGTTAGAGCCACGCATGGGGGTGGGCACAGAAAGCCCCCTCCTGCTGAGAGTTCTTTGCATTTGGCCTTTCCCCCTCGGAAGCAGCCAGTCTCAGAGCTGTCCTGATTTGTTTAGAACTACAGCTATTCCACCCTGCACCTGCCAAGTATAGCTGCACTTCCTGTGGACTAGATCTAAACAAATACAAAAATCCGATATACAAGTAGCCATCACCTGCTGAATGCAAAAAGCAAAGGAAGCACCTCACCCTCAGAGACTTGTAATCTAGCTGAAGAGGTGAGACCCAAATACATGGGAGTTCAGGATCTGGGAACAGTGAACATACCAGTTTCGACTACAGTAGAAGAGATCTCACGGGTCTCTGTGATTAATTATCAAATAAGTGGTTCTGGCAGTGATTGCTCTCCTTGTCCAGGGGAGAGAGGACGTGCTTCAGCCTTTTGTGGTCAGGAACACTGTGCTGGGACGGGGGGCGGGGGGGGGGCAGGGATGGTGGCGACGGGAGGGAGGCCTGGGTTTCAGTTGCTTCTTGAAGGCTGAACGCATCAGATCTATAAATAGAACTCATGATTCTTTTCGCTTTGGGAACATACAGACTAACTGTCCTTTCTAGATTAGTGCCTGATCCCAGTTTCCTGCCCTCCCGTCATCGGGGTGCTCAGAAAATGTAATTTGATAAGTAAAAATGACTTTTTATGAGCACCTACAACGTGCCCGTTATTGCATAGTGCACATTACAAAAAATATTTCTGGTCTTTTCAGCAAGACTGATTGGACAGCCATCCCCTACTCTAACCTACAAATGAAGCAAATGGGGCTCAGAGAATGTAGGGATCTTTCCTGAGGTCACACAGCCCAGTCAGGCATGGTGAAGCTAGAATTCAAGGCCAAGGGACTGAGGTTTGCAGAAGGGGCCCAGTCGGTAGCTGTTTTCTGAGGGTTTCCCATATAGATGCCGAATTTCCTGCCTTCAAGCAGACCTGGTCTCTTGAAGCCTTTCTAACATACTGCATAGATTGAGGACCCAGCTGTGATATTATTTCTCTCTCTCTCTCTCTTTTTTTTTTTTTTGAGAAGGGAAGGGAAGACCAAACAAATAGGGTTGCTGCAGATTTCAGAATTGCACTGAAGGTCTGAGCCAGAGGAAACTTTTCAGAAGGCAGGGATCTCAGTGACTCAAAAGTCCCTCCCGAGAAAATGGATGCCTCCCCGCTCCCACCATTCATCCTTTTTCTTTTCTTTTCTTTTTTTTGGAGATAGTCTTGCTCTGCCACCTAGACTGGAGTGCAGTGGCACTATACTTAGCTCACTGCCACCCTCTGCCTCCCGGGTTCAAGTGATTCTCCTGCTTCAGCCTCCTGAGTAGCTGGGATTACAGGCGCCTACTGCCACGCCCAGCTAATTTTTGTATTTTTTGTTTTTTTAACAGAGGCAGGGTTTCCCCATATTGGCCAGGCTGATCTCAAGCTCCTGACCTCAAGTGATCTGCCTGCCTCAGTCTCCCAAAGTGCTGGGATTACAGGCATGAGCCACCACACCTGGCCCTCTTCATCCTTGACCCTCTCTTCTCTCCCTCTCTGCTGATGAGCTAGACCCCTGCTTTTGAACGAAGCTGAAACCTTGGTCTGTGGAGTGGGGAGAGGCTGGCCCTTTAAGCGCTCTACCCACTAGGCTCTCAGCAGTAGAGGGTGGAGCAGAGCGAAGGAGCGTGTGGTGGGGCTGTGTCCACAGACCACGCTGCTGTCCTGCCAGTTTGGTGGAGTGGAGCGTAAATCTCTCCCTTCCCTCTATTTGCTTTCCTGACCCTATAGAAATGAGGTGATTAACACCCACCTTCTCTTTTCTGTTTTCACCAAATCTCTGATCAACTTGGCACCTGTCTTGTCTGTTTGGGCTGCTATACCTTAGATTGGGTGGTTTATAAACAACAGAAATGTATTTCTCACAGTTCTGGTGGCTGGGAAGTTCAAAATCGAGGCACTGGCCAATTTGGTGTCTCATGAAAGTCAACTTCCTGGTTTATAGATGGCTGTGTTCTCACTGAATCCTCGTGTGGAGAAAAGATGAGGGAGCTCTTTGGGGCCTCTTTTATAAGGGCACTAATCCCATTCATGAGAGCTCCACCCTCATGCCCTAATCACTTCCCAAAGGCCCGACCTCCTGATACTATCGCATTGGAGGTTAGGATTTCAACAGATGAATTTTGGGGCAATGCAAACATTCAGTTCATAACAGCACTCTTCGAAAACCCCTAGAATTCAAGACGATATGCAGGTTTCCCCTCATGAAAATAAAACCAAGGTGTTCTAGAACAAAAAATATATATGAGCATAAAAAAGAAAAGCATGAATCATACACTCCTCTGAAGATAACTATTGTGACGTTTGGGTGTTCTCTGGTTGTAATATTTCTTTTTAATAGAACTGTGATGAAACTACATGTGACTTTGTATTCTATGTATTCACTAGCATTTCCTCAAATTATTTACAAACTCTTGGCGGACATCATTTTAGTTACTATATATCATATGGATGTATCATAATTTATTTTTGTTATTTTATTTTTTGAGACGGGGTCTCACTGTGTTGTCCAGACTGGAGTGTAGTGGAGCAATCTCAGCTCACTGCAGTCTCCACCTCTTGGGCTCAAGCATCCTCCCACCTCAGCTTCCTGAGTAGCCGGGGCTACAGGCAGGTGCTACCACACCTGGGTGATGTTTGCATTTTTTTTTTTTTTTTTTTTTTAGTAGAGATGGGGCTTAAGCAATCCACCTGCCTTGGCCTCCCAAAGTGCTGGGATTATAGACATGAGCCACTGCACCTGGCCCATAATTTATTTAACTTCTGTGTGACTAACCATCTAAGTGGTTCTCGCTTTTTGCTACTAGCAGCCATATCACAATTCATATATTTGTGCATAAAGATTTTTGACATTTTAGTTTACAACCTTAGGATGAATTCCCAGAAGTGAAATTATGAGGCCAGAGTTAGGAACCATGTTTAAGGCTCTTGATACATTTTCTCAAATTGCTTTCCAAACGGGTTATATTAATTTATACTTTATTAGGAACCTATAAGAGTGTTAAACATGCCACACTCTTTCCAGCAATCAATACGCTCTTTTAAAAATGGGTTTTTAACTACCTAAGTCTACTATCCTTATAAAACAAAGCATGACATCACGCCGAGGTTGGCTTTGCCCGCATCCTTGTTCTGTTCTACACCTCTCTCTCTGTTCTTACCCACTGCCAGCTGTGGCTTTCAGTTCCTCCAGCCTCTTCCCTTTCCCCCTACTTACGTCATCCAGTCTACTGTTTGATTATGTTCACCTGTTGATGTTTTTAAACGTCTGTTCTTTCTCTCCTTCTAGAACAGAAATTGGCAGACTTTCTTTGTGAAAACCAGAGAGTAAGAATTTTGGGTCGTGGGCCATTTCTGCTGTGGCCACAAAACTCTGGTGTTGTGGTGTAATGGCAGCCATAGACAATATGTAAACAATTGAGTGTGACCATTTTCCAATAAAACTTTATCTACAAAAGTTGCTGTCAGGTTGGATTTGGCCTGCAGGCTGTAGTTTGCTGATCCCTGTCCTAGACTGTAAATTCCTTCGGGCAAGGGCCAAGTGGATTCCCGAAGCTCCTGGACCAGGGTTATGCACAGTTACCCTGGGCAATGACTAGAGTGAGAGGGCTGGCATTTTTTTTCTTTTTTTTAGAGATGGGGGTCTCGCTATGTTGCCCAGGCTGGTCTCAAACTCCTGGGCTCAAGCCACCCTCCCTTCTCAGCCTCTGAAAGTGCTGAGATTACAGGTATGAACCACCACACCCGGCCTGGCATTTTCAATACTGAATTTAGGCTTGAGATGAATAGAAAGGACATGGAGACATCATTCTGCATCACCTCCTCTGTCCTCTCTGCTCCTTGTCCCTCTGGTGGGAAGAGGGAGAGGAAAAGGAAGAGACATTCCAAAGTGACTTGAGTCCTTTTGGCCCTGGGAGTGGGAAATTAAAGAGATGAACAGCAGTCTTTCTTCCCCAAGCCCTTAGCTGAGCCCAAGCGCAATTCTGCCTTTGGGCCAGGTGTGTACCAGGCAGGGTAAGAGTTGAGGGCGACAATAATGCCACTATAGGCAGAGGAATGACAAAAACTAGCATTTATCAAGCACTTACCATGCAGTAGAACTGCAGCTTCCTATGTCATCCATGTAATAATCGAACAATGACAAGCATTGCGGACAATGAGATCGGTGCCATAGTTACTCCATCTATAAAGATGAGGACACAGAAGAACAGAGAGATTAAGTAACTTGCCCAAACTCTCCCATCTGTGATTAGTGGAGCAGAGGATGGCATCTGGCCCCAGTGCTTCCACTCCTTCCCACCACTCTGATTGCCTCTGTGGCAAACACTCTCAGTTGCCTTCCCGATATCCATTCAGCTCTTCTTCCTTAGTGTCAGAACTTGGAAGTCCGTTACTATAGTGGCATTATTGTTGCCCTCAACTCTTACCCCGCCTGGTGCACACCTGGCCCAAAGGCAGAATAGCGCTTGGGCTCAGCTAAGGGCTTGGGGAAGAAAGGCTGCTGTTCATCTCTTTAATTTCCCACTCCCAGGGCCAAAAGGACTCAAGTCACTTTGGAATGTCTCTTCCTTTTCCTCTCCCTCTTCCCACCAGAGGGACAAGGAGCAGAGAGGACAGAGGAGGTGATGCAGAATGATGTCTCCATGTCCTTTCTATCCATCTTAAGCCCAAGTTCAGTACTGAAAATGCCAGGACAAAATCACCTTGGGGAACATGCCCAGGTGACAAACTCATTTCCAGTCTCCCTTACTGTTAGATGTAGTCAATTAAGTGGAAACTCTTTGGCTGTTTCTCTGTCCTCTGGCTTGGAATATAAACATGATGACTGGAGCTCCAGTAGCCACTGTGAAGCCCCGGTGTGGATGGAAGCCACGTGCTGAGGAGGGTGGAACAGAAGCAAAAAGGATCCTGGGAGTTCTCAGATCAGCTCCTGGCTGCCTTATTCTGGACTCCTTTTTTTTTTCTATAACACAACAGAGAAATAAATTTCTATTCTGTTTAGGTCACATTGATCAGTTCGCTCTTACAGGAAGATAAATGTAATTCCTAAGTGTTAAAGCCTTGAAGAAGAAACCAGAGCTGCTCTTATAACACACAAGAGATTTGCGAAGAGGAGTCCATCTGGCAGGGTCCAAACGCGTTTCTTATTCCCCATCCCTAAATCCAGATCATCAGATGCAGTGGGACAAAATGATTGAGATATGTCCCAGGGAGTGAGCAGAAGTGGGAGGGGAGGAAGTGGGCTAAAAGGAGAAGAAAAAGCCCCAAGGCAGGAGGGAAGGGTTTTCCTTACCAGCTTTGAGGGGGGTGGCCACACAGAGCCAAGAGCTGAGGCTGAAGGCCTTGTGTCCTTTGAGGAGAGGGACCCCAAATTATCTGTGGCTTCTGAACAGGTAAGACAATACGACGTGGACCTCAAACAAATACTTATTGTTTATGGCCTGGATCCATGTGGGTTGACCGAACACCAGTCAGGCTGCATGACAAGGACCTGTACCCTCTCTCCCTCCCTGTGGCTAGTGCCTGAGTGGTGAGTTTACTCATGGAGCGGCTATGGTTTGGTGGAAATGAAGCCAGCTGCAGGCTTAATATCCACACACTGTCCCTGGGAGTCAGCCGCATGTAAGGTCCACCTGTTGCCAAAGCAGAGGAAGCTTAGGGTCATTAAGTAAGGCCTACCACTCAGGGAGTTTGTTCCAGATCCAGCAATCCTCTTTAAAAAGAACAGATTACACCTGCCATCCTCCCTGCATTCTGATCTCCAGGAGGGGGAGCAAAGGAGAGATTCTAGGATGCAAGAGCCTCAGGATTCCAGGCAGCAAAGATAGAACTTTTCTCTCCAACTTTGGTTCCAGGGCTCTGCTGGGAGCTCTCTACTGATACTTGCAGTAATCTGCAAATGGCACACTGGTATCACAGGTGGGAAGCCTCGGGCTCAGGGACTCATGGGTCAAGGAGATCTGCGGCCAGGTGAGGGGGTGAGGTGAGCAGTGAACCCATTTTGTGGGAGGATAAATACAGAGGAAGGTCTTTTTCTGAACTGAAACAAAGAGAGAATCCTTATAAATGCCCCTGGGAGAGGCCTGTCCTGTGCGGTTAACCTTGAAAGAAAGTCACTGACTGAGGCTTCACATTTCATCCTTGTCCTGACAAGTCCAGCATTTCCAAGTTTTCCCTCAGACAACTCCCTATCAAGACAATCTGTAGATTTTTTTTCCAGTCGGCATATTGGCTGCACAGATAATGTAGGTATTTTCAGTCAGCCCGGAGCAGGAGAGATAAGAGGGGAGAGAGCCAGGGAGAACTTGATGGAGTGACCCAGATAAATTTACTGTACCACAGGAAATCGAAATGCAAAAATAAGGACTGGGAGCAACTGAAATATTTAAAAAGATAGAGAAGGGACTGGCAGTCTAAGGGAACAGACTCACCCCTTCATTGCCTGAGTGCCTGAATATTGCAAAAGAGAACAGGGTCAAAAAAGGACCAGAATAGAAACTAGCCATTAAGGGAGACAGAACGAAGGGTTTGGCTTACAAATCGGACTATAATTAAGAAAGGAGGAGAAATCAGAAGGGTTTGGGGTTTGTCTTCTTGGCCTGTAGTCTCACCTAGGTGATGTCTGAGACAGAATACTTCTCTATATTGTGGTTTCTGCCTCCCAGAAGCCTTCTATTGTCCTCCCTCCCTGGGGAGAGAACTGCTGTCTTCTTGGTCGGGAGGCAGTGGGGGTATTGGTAAGAAGTCAGGCTTGGCTGCTGTAACCATGGGACCCAATAGTAACAGTAGCTTATATAAGACAGAACTTACTTCTCCGTTGTGTAAGTTTGAGTGAATGTTCTAGAGTCCCTGAGGGGCTCAAGTTCCTTCTCTCAGGCCTTGGCTTTGTCTACAGGTTGACGCTGGGCTGCTGTGGTTCCAGCCACCAGGAAAGGGAGAGAACTTAGAGAAGGCTCAGGCTTGGACATGGCATCCTCATTTCAACTCACATTTCTTTGAGGACATCTTAGTTATATGCCCCCCACCTGGCTGTAAGGGAGGCCAGGAAATATAGTTTCACCACGTGCTCAGGAAGAAGGGAGAGCCATCTTGGGGGACAAGCAGGGTTCAAGGCCACTGAGAACTAGTGGAAGGAGGAACAGGAGTGGCTGAGGTGCTGGTGGGAGGTAGACTCTGATGAGGGCCTTGATAAATAAGAGAGCCACCCCATCCATCCGGGGCCCGGATGTCCTTCTGCTGGCGGGGACATCACAGCCTACGAGCTGACCACATTCCACTATCAGTACAAGTGGACTCTGGCAGCAGACATGCTTCTTGGTGAAGCTGTGGTGACATCTCTCTGTGTCTCCTTGCAAATGATCAGCTCCCACCTCCGCCCTGGCACTAACCTGGGCTGCAGGAGACTGAAATGCATGTTGCCTCTTATCATGAATGGGAGCATCATCTTTGCAGAAAGTCTCCGTTCTTCATCTTTGCAAATTGAGAGTATAATCCAGGATGGAAGGAGATCAAACATCAGCATCTAACGGGGGAATGAGGCCTCCTGAATTGAGTATTGGGCTCAGGAGGGAAGTGAGGGTCCACGAAGCACAGACCACCCTTTGCAATGAGCAGCAAGGTGGGTGTCTCTTTCACAGGTGGGGGTGGGGTGTTTCCATCCAAGGGGCCCCAGTGAGCTTGAACCCAGCCTGCTCTTCTCAGATGGACTTGGGTTACATGTGTGCTAATTATCAGGCACTGGCAACCTCTCCAGTGCTGGTAACTTCGGATCAGTCGTCACATCTTTTCCCCAGTGCCTCCGCGATCAGTAGGCAGACATCAGCTGGGGCTGGCCACTGGGTCATCCAGATCCGATGCTTCAGCCCTTCCAAACATAACCTAATTCCCCTCTCTATTTTTAAGGATAAAAATCTGTGCATAAAACACCTGAATGATTCAGAGGGCATGGTGTAGCTTATCCATTTTTTTTCCCCTCATATCTTCAGCTTGGCATTTCTTTAAAACAATGAAACTATTTTTTTTCCTTAGATATGAAACATGGCCTCAGAGACCTTGACTTGAAGTCAGAAGATCTAGACTCTCTTGAGGTCTCTGTAAAGAGCTCACCCAGGCTGCAAACAATTCTCTCCCTGAGGCCTCTCCCCTGTGTGACCTGAGAGCCAGCTGAGTGTTCATTTCTCAGGGATTTGCAAGAAAGAGTTTATGCGAGAAGAAGCCTTTCATATTCTAAAATTGCCAGACTGTGTTTTCTGGGGCAAGGTACCCGGATCGCACTGTTCAGGGTGGGTAATGTACTTCAGAGCTTGCTCATTTAATGTTTTTGCTGAAGTCTGTAGTCTTATTTAGACATAAAACCTTGAGGAAACCTACTTCCCAATTCCCAAGCGTATGCCTCATTTCCTTCCTCTCCCGGTCAACCCAGGCTCTTGTCAGGACACCTCATCAATCTGAAAACTTTGAAATGTAGAGTGCAAAGCTCTTTTCTTCCCTTTTAAAAATAGAGTTTATTTTTCATTCTCTCTGTAAGTCATGCCAGTTCAATATAAAAACTGGAAAATAGAAATTAACCAGGTAATTGAATGAGTTGGGCTTGGTGGGGTGCAGGCAGAAAGCAACTTTACTTTTCCCCCCACTTGCCTGGCACCCTGGCTCTGTGGATTCATTTTTCCTTTCTCTTGATTTTTGGATACTCCCAGGTATTAATTAAGAGTCTTGTTCCTTCCGGTAATAAAATGTCAAGTCGCAGTCTCATCTTAAACTCTCATGCATTTTAGAACTTCTCCCCTTGCTGAGCTTGGCCTGTGGGCACAGGCATATATGTGGTCACCCCTTCTCTGTTTCTCCCTTGCGCCCCTGTCGGTGGTCGGCTTCTCCCTGGGCCAGTGTGGGAGGGAGAAGGAGAGGCTTAAGGGGTCAGCAAAGTCATGGTTGACTGGAACTGTTGTAACCTGGTATCCTGAGTCTGTATTTCTCCTGTGTGTGCTCTTTAGGGTTCTTTGGAGACACCATCTCCCCGCTGGCTGAGGATTTTCCTGGACGGGGCTTCCTCCAGCTGGTTCCATACAATCGCTCATTTACAGCAATCCACTCCTCTGTGGGGTCACCGCACTTCTCCAGCAGGGAGCACATTCTTCTAGAGGATCCACATGTTAGCCATAGGCAGGCATCTGCCTCAGGGGAAGTCCATGTCTGGTCTATGGGAAGCACAACTGTATCCTCGCACCACCAAACCTTACAAGTGCAGCGCTTCCCACCCCTGCCCTGCCTCTCGGCTGCCCATCGATGTAGGCCATCCCAGCTGGGCCTCTGTCTTTGATTTTGGAGCATGAACCAGGTTGCATTCCTGTATCCTTCAAATTCTAGGGGCGTAGAGCAAATTCTTCCAGTGGTTCTAAGTGTCCCTGCCTTTGCATTCAATAACTCTCTCTCTCTCCTTAAAGAAATCTTTACTCTCTATCTCTTCACCCTGATTCATGCATTCACAGCCTTCTCTGAAAACATTGGAGATCAATGGTGTCCTAGCGCTGACTGAACTGGAGATCCTGCCATGCTGGCCCAGCATCCTGCTTCACTCGGCAGCCATGATTTTCTACCTTCGGGCCTCGGTAATACTCAGACAAGAATCCATGTTATCATCTAGCATGGTAGCCGCAGTAGGTTTTTTATGGCTCCAGATTAATTTCAATCCAGGATCATGGCCCTTTGGAATACAGCTTGGCAGCTCCTCCCATCCAGAGAAGTCTGCTTGTC